ATAGCGATTACCGATTGTAATGATCATAAATTCGCTTCAGCTGTGCAATTTCAGCGTTATCGGTTCGCTGTGATGTAACCATTTCGCGTTCAATATTGCAACCCGTAAGTGTCAACATAATGAAAAAAACATAGATATTTATATATTTTTATTTTAATTAAAAAAGTTACTTGTAAAGCACCTCATAATGCTGAAATTAACGAGCTCACTGAGGAACACAGTTTCAAATCAAGTGCTAAAATGCAGTGCAGTTCGTCTGTTACATGTCGGCGACGCAGATATTCTACGAACAGCTGTAAACAAAAACTCTACCGAATATAAAGTATGATATCTTATATTTATTATTATTTAGAAAAAATTATAATATAATTGACTTTTTTAAGGAAAATTGTACTGAAATGTCTAAATTGGTATCCCAATTGCGTGACATAACCAAGAATGTATTAACAGGTGGTAGGTATTAAATGTCACAATTATTTTGAATAAAAGATATAACAGAACGTATTTGAACCTGCATCCGATTTATAACAATATATACAAAATTTACCTAAACATTTACCTCATTTATATTTACATCATATAAGTTTTATCAATTTTTAGCATATGAAATGTTATTTCTTTAGCTTTTTTCAAATATAATTTGTTAAAAAATGTTGCGATTTGTGATAAATTTATTTATTATATCAAAGAGTTTTAATCTGAATATATGGTAAATTGTGTTCATCAACAATATTATTATATTTTAAATGTTATGATGGAATTTAAAACGAATGTTTTAAAAAAGTTTATTCAATTAATTTTACGAAAACTAAAATACGTTTTTGGCATTTTAAATATGTCTAGTTTTTGATCTCTGTTGATCTATTACATTTTATAGCTTCTACTATTTTAAATATGGTCCGAAAATATCATTTTAAAATTTGTTATAGTTCTTGCCAAACACTATAATTATAAAATGTAATATAGAAAAAAAAAATAAAAAGATGTAAAATCGAAAAGTTAATTAATGGACTGTTTAATCTAAAATTTTTCAGTGTTTTATTTTTATATGAAACATGAATTTCTGTATTTATAAATTTAAACATACATACAAATGTATAGCTTGATAGTTTATTAAATAATAAATTTTATCCAATTGATATAATACTTTTTAATATAACAGGTGGCGATAAGGCTGTTGAACGTCATACATCCCGTGGAAAACTTTTAGCAAGAGATCGCATCAATTTATTATTAGACAAAGGATCACCATTTCTGGAACTTAGTACTTTAGCCGGATATAATTTATATGGCGATGAAGTCGTGAACTCAGGTGGTATTGTAACAGGTATTGGCAGAGTTTGTGGGTATGTTTAAGTTTTAATTGTTATATAAAAGTTGTATGCATGTACATCTTTATTTTCAGTATGGAATGCGTTGTAGTAGCAAATGATGCTACTGTAAAGGGTGGAACTTATTACCCTATAACGGTTAAGAAACATTTACGTGCACAAGAAATCGCACAAGAAAACCGTTTGCCTTGCATTTATTTAGTGGACTCTGGTGGTGCTAATTTGCCTAGACAGGCGGAAGTATTTCCCGATAAACAACATTTTGGACGTATTTTCTATAATCAAGCTAATATGTCTGCATTAGGCATACCTCAAATTGCTGTTGTTATGGGTTCTTGCACAGCTGGCGGTGCATATGTACCTGCAATGGCTGATGAAAGTATCATTGTTAAAAAACAAGGTACTATATTTTTAGCAGGACCACCATTAGTAAAAGCTGCAACAGGTGAGGAAGTTTCAGCTGAAGATTTAGGTGGAGCTGATTTACATTGTAAGACGTCTGGGGTTACTGACCACTATGCTATCGATGATGAACATGCTCTTTATCTTGCACGTCAAGTTGTCAAAAATTTAAATTTACCTGGAACAAATGCGTATAATGAGCAATTGTTTTATTCAAGCAAAGCAGCAGTTAAAGCAGCACAGAAAATATCGGGTCAAGCAATTGAACAACCTGTTTATGACCAGAAAGAGCTATATGGAATTGTAGGACCAAATCTTACAAAGAGTTTTGATGTACGTGAAGTTATTGCTCGTATTGTTGATGGCAGTCGGTTTTCTGAGTACAAAAAACTTTACGGCGAAACGTTAGTTTGTGGTTTTGCCAAGTTGTATGGAAATACAGTGGGAATTGTTGGTAACAATGGTGTATTGTTTTCTGAAAGTGCTTTAAAGGGTGCACATTTTATACAACTTTGTGCACAAAGGAAAATACCCCTGATATTTCTGCAAAATATTACCGGTAAGAGAAAATGAATTTTATGTAACAAATTAGTAACGGTTTTTATTTAATTTTTAATATAAATATTTGAGGTTTTATGGTTGGGCGTGACGCAGAAGCCAATGGTATAGCTAAAAATGGTGCAAAAATGGTTACAGCTGTATCGTGTGCAAATGTTCCTAAACTTACCGTTATTATTGGTGGATCATATGGTGCGGGTAATTATGGTAAGAATTTTATTTGATTTTATTTTCAGGATATTGTTTTTAATAATAAAATATTTGTAATCATGCGTTTTACAGGAATGTGCGGTCGTGCTTATTCACCACGGTTTCTTTATATGTGGCCCAATTCTCGTATTTCTGTTATGGGTGGTGTACAAGCAGCTAACGTTCTTGCACAAATTACTGCTGATCAACGGAAACGTTCTGGAAAAACTTTTTCCGATGAGGAAGCTGCAAAACTAAAAGCACCAATTATAGAAACTTTTGAAAAGGAAGGCTCACCATACTATAGTACCGCTCGCTTATGGGATGATGGTATAATTAATCCGGCTGATACCAGACAAATTTTGGGTTTAAGTTTGAAAGCAGCATTAAATAATTCCGGTCATGAAACTAAATTTGGAGTTTTCAGAATGTAGATCATATTTCGAGAAAGAGCTCCAATGAGAAAATGTGCCAATGTTAGTTAAGCATTTTTAAAAGATTTTTGAAAAATTTTGTGTTATGAAATGTGCATTTATTTTCAATTGTAAATATTTTAGGGAAACTGTTGCATTTATTAGTTTTAAGATTTTTTCATTGTAAATGTTTTTTGTGCAATAAAACTTTGATATATGCATGTGTACAAATTTAATTTAATTGATTTCAATAATCACAAAATAGATTTATTTATCGGGCGCTTCTCCTATTATATGTAAAAGTTTTCAATTTTATAGCTAGTATGTCACAAAATTAGAAAGTTTTGTTGATTCAATCTATATTAATATGATTAATTTATCACTTGGACTCTAAACTTTGTATTAAATGCCTTTAAATCAATATAAATGATTCAGATAAATATGTATCTACAATATTTAATAAGGGTTAACACTTGTATAATTTATATTAGACTTTTTCCTTTACCCATTACCTATTAGTGTTATTATATGTGGTATAATTTATATAGCTGTAATATAAACTATATATATAGCTTATATATATATATAAGTAAATATATAGCTATATCTCTGAGTACACGCACTATGTTAAAAGCTTTTATGAACATCAATATGCTTTATATATATATATAGTAAATAAGATATGGTTTATTTACTGCAGCAACCAAGTGTTACTACTATTGAACTAATAGCGTTTACAGAAATAGCGTTTGCACCAGGGATTGATAAGCTAAGTAGCTACAACAACAACATGCTAGATAAGTTGTTACCTGAAAACAAAGTCAAAATTATCGTTTTAGTTTTAATATTCTAATATTTTCTTTTTATATGCTTATGGAAAGAAATTGTGTTACATTTTTTGAATTTTAAATGTTTTCTAACTTAAACTTAATGAATAAAAATTGAAATATTTAAAGTACTACTTTCTGTTTAACCTTTGAATAACATATTAATTTAATAATGTTTACAAAATTGTTTTATTAAAAACAATTTCGATAATAACATTGTGCACAGTCTTTCAAGAAAAGGCTATCAAGAAATCCATAGAAAATTTTAAAAGTTAAAAAACTAGAGCTTCACATCGTTGGGATGTGCACTTTGTTAATAAAAGTTTATATTAGTAGAATGTGTTTAGATTTTTCGACTTCATTTTTTGATTTTTGGACACTTAGCTATTGTTTATTACATTTTTGGAACTTCTTCATCGACGTTTAACTTATTGCTGAAGTTTAGCTGTTTAGCTTATTGTCGGAGATTCTTGATATGTTATATTTGGATTGAATAAATATTTTTTTATCTTAAAATATATTTTTTGCAATTACTTTATAAAATATGCTCTAAAAAGCTGGAGTATAAAATGATTATATTTCAATATTCTTATTACATTATAAAAGAAAGCCATCTTTTATGCATACATTATTATGCATACATACATAATTTAAATTAAATTAGTTATTAAATTGAACATATTTTGAATTACACAATATTTTAGTATTGAATAGTATGTACTATTTCAATACTTTTGTTACTTTGCACGGTAACACTGTTTAAATGCAATTATTGGACGCCATCTGGTGTTAGAATCAAATTTAGCACTTCTTTCCGTACTCATTTTGTAATTGTTGAGTGGAAAAAACTGATGTTGCAGTTTTCAAGCGATTAAGATTTTCAATTTCAATTAAAAGCAAGAAAGATAAGTGTTACTTGTAAATATATTGCTTAAGTAAAAATAAAATAAAGTTTTGAAAGTATATTTGGTGATCTATAAGTGAAATTAAAATAAAAATTTGGTCAAGAAAAATTTCTCCTTTAAAAAAGGTGAGTGTGTATGTATTGATGGCGTTGCCGATGCAGCAAAATCTATATGAATAAAAAATAAAGGAATATGGAATATACCAAATACAAGGGATCGTTTAAGTAATTTTTATAAAGATTTCATTAAAAAATTTTAACCGTCCAAATTCTAAGTGGATATTTACTTCTTTGATATGAAAAAACTGAAATGCCGGAGGACAGACGCTTGCTCCAAAGAGCATTGCATGCGGCTGCGAATTTTTGTGCATTGGTGTGCGGTTGTGAGACTATTTCGCTCCCTTGGGGGCAACATTCGGTGTCGAATAAGTTTAAGTAATGTGTTTTACCTTGCAAACTCTAAAATTGTGCAATTTTGCAACTTCAATTCATTAAATTTCCGTATTTAATTGTATACAACTGTTCTTGACCTTTTGTAGATAAATTTTTGTTCAATACAAACTAAAAATAATTTGTGCTTCAGTTGAGTTACTTGTATGAGTAGAATGAGCTGTCATTGACATTGGGTGACTAATTATTTTTAACGAATTTTATGCAGATTTATTCTAAAGGAATTTGCAATAATAATTATTCTTATTTACAATTTTTGAAAAAAAATATATATATTTTATTACTGTATCTTGATTACGTCATCGAGCATTGCGCGCGTTTATGCCTTTCCACCTCCTTCTACATTTTTCTAATACATAATTCATGTTTGATTTAACGGCTCTGTTTTGAATAGTGTCAGCATGTCTGTATTTTATTCTATATGTATATATTATAATTTTTTTTTTTTGATTTCCAATTATTTGCTTGACACATGTGCCGGTTTTTGCCCACTTCCATATTAGTGGCACATACATATTTTAAACGCCTCTCCTTTTTCTGTTTTGTTTTCTTTTGTTTATAAATTACACTTTTTATCTAGAAATTTGGCATATGAAATATTTAACTAGTTTCTTTGGCATACAGGTTCTGTATTCTGTATGATACTTGAATGGCACAATTTTGACGTTCCAAAGTGATTACGCCTTTGTATATACCAGTTGATACTAGTTTTGGTGTAACATCTGCATTAATAATGTTCGCAGTGACATGTAATAGCCATGAAAATATTTACATGACCTATCACAAATTTATCACGAAGTAATGCATTTATTTATTTGTATAGATAATTGAATGTAAATGATTTCATCTGCAGAACGTGTTAATATGGTATGCAGTTTGACCACACGATGTTCTAATCTCTCTTCAGAAATAAGACTCAGTGTGGGCAGCACGTACTCAATTTTAATACAGTTTATTTAATACTTATTAATTCATTATCAACATTACATTTTTGTTACAAATATTATTAATAAGTGTTATTCTTCTCTAGTTTAGCTGATGTAAATACTTTATAGCACTAATTCTTACATTTTTACCGGATGTTTTCTATTTTGTTCATTGTCTATAATAAAATATATAGTACAATACCAATTTTATTCGATAACAGCTGGCACAAAAAAATTTCAGTTCTTTAATAATTTGTTCAGTAAAATTGAAATACAACATGGGTCCGAGAACCAGAATTAAAAGGATTACTGAGATAATATACCAAGATTAAAGTAATCCAAATTACATATTGGTACATATAACAATAAGAGATACCAGGATTGTATGAACCTATCAAAAGAAAAATTTAGAATTCTAAGAGGGCATTGTAAACTAAAATACCACCTTATAAGACTGGGTATACTTATGGATGCAAACTGTAGATTCTGTAAAGAATGAGAAGTCGGCTACACATATGCTCTTAGAATGCCCTGCGCTAATGCACATACGGAATAGACTCCTGGAAATGTATATTCCTACGGAAGAGGCAATAAAACTCTATAAAGTAGGTTCTATACTACATTTTATTGACGCAACAGGGCTTAGAGACCTACTCTAAACCCAGCAGGGAACACAATAGACCCGAAGCTCGCAGTGCCATATCCCCTAACAATAATAATAATGGGTCCGGGATCTAATAGAGCAGATTTGTCAATAAAATTAAAAAAGTTATATTCATGGCGTTTTCATTTTACTATAAAGAGGGGCACGGAAAATATGAGTTTTTGTATTAACAGATAGAGATTCTTGCTACTTGTGGTCTAATATAAACGAACATTTAAAAGTTGTGTTTCTGTATTAACAGAGTGAGATTCCTAGTACTAGTCGTATATATACGGACACTTAAATACTTGACTCAGTATTCATAGACTTCTATAGACTTCTAAATCTTGCAGTCTACTAATGTATATGGACACTTAAAACTGCACATCTACACACATCTGTTGGATGGAGTTTCATAAAATGCGAGCATCTCTAATATTAAATGTTAAATTAATATAATTTTATTAGTCAGGAGTTCATGACATAACATATCAGTATCGTGCTTTATTACTGAAACTTTTTTTAGTAGTATTTTCAAGATTTTTTTACTTTATACACTTTGATTTCTTTTTAATCTGGTATTTTAATTAAGAAGAAAAAATTAATTCTACCTATTGCCCAAAGTATGTTTGGAACTATAATTTGTTATTTCCCATAATTTTCCAACTGTTGAATTTTAAAGATGGTTGCTACAGTTTCATATTTAGAAACGTAATAGGTGTGGTAACGTTAGAGTTTAATTTAATTTCATTTCTAAATCCCAAAAATTACCGTGCTATTTTCTATTTCAATGATGAGCTAAGTGTTGGCTCCCGTTACAGTGATTGATTTTTATAATTTTTCTGTTATTATACCTATATATACCTATATGTAAGTATATGAGTTCTATATGAATGCTTTTTCTTTTATGTCTACATTGTTGTAATGTAATTTAGGGTAATGCGGTTATAAATACGTCATACCTTATTGCCCAAAGAAATCGTTTAATGCCATTATTTGACTTGGTTGGATTTTATATTTTATGAAATGAAATAAATTTTGGTTGTATTTCCGTTGCTTCTGGTTATTGACTACTCGTTATAGTCCTTGTTTTGATTATGTTGTATTGGAACAAGTGTTTGCATACATTTCCTACACCGTCTCTACACATTTCACCCTCTTTGAAGATTTTATTCACTCAAAAAGGTTGTGTAGCTCGTTAAATCAATAATAAAAAAAAACAAAAACAAATATAACAACTTTAACAACAACAACTGCAACAACAGCAATACAAAACAATTGAAAAGAATGCGCCTGCTTTGGTGCACGTTGGCGCTCTATCGTATGGTTAAGGAGGTGAACGCACTTGTTGGGATTTATGCGGCTGCATGCTGACATTAACAGTTCCGGTTTTTCAAATTTTCTGTTGTATAGTGAAGTAGTTAAGTAGTTAAGTGGAGAGCACTACGTAGGCATTTTTAGCGTTCTTTTTGTGCATATAACATCGCAATTACAGCCATTAAAAAGTTTGGAAGGATTTTTTTTACTAAATCAACCGTAGGTTTAGGATGTGTGGTCTGTCATGCAGATTTTATGCAAAAGTAAAAGTTTTTATTATTACTATAGTATAAAAAAAGGCGTAAAATTATTTTACTCCAAACACTAGAATGTCTAATTAATAAACAACCATAAAGAATATTTGATTTTTACGCTAAAGTGCAATAAAAAATAAAAAACCAGTTCTTCTATATATTTATTATAAGTTGAAGTCATTCAAATATTTTTAAATTCATTTTTAAACAATCTTAACTATTGTTTCGGGTAACCTGTTCCGTTTATGCTAAGATATCTTAGATACTTTTTATCAATTTAGAAAGTTTTCTATTTTTACCGTTTTTTATTTTATACTAAATAGTGTGTAAGTTACACTAATGATATGAATATAGCAGCGAATCTGTATGAATATAATTGTGATTTATGAAAGAGCGTCTCATAGATTTAACTAAAAATAACTTATCTAAATATGAATATAGTAAACTAAACTATGAACCTTTTGAATAATAACTATATTAAGTAGTTTAATGTAGACACAACTTATTAAACCCGCGAAGAACTGCCAAAGCTGGCCTTTATGCCATATGTTGCCATATACTCTTTGTTGTGGTTCAGATATTAACTGAGCTCTTCGAAGCATCGCGTATCTTGATATTTGCGTACGTTATGAGCATTTTGGTCGAGTATAGCAAATCGTTGTGAAGTGTTTAAACATTATAATGTGCCCGATCACTTACTGTTATACGTATTTGTATAGAATGAAATGAAACATTAAGGTGAGCTGTTATACCGGATATCTTGAACATATTCGCACAGTTCGAACAATTGAAGTGCTGTGCTTGATTCAAATTTTCGAGAATTTGACAATTTCTCTTACAATTTCTCTTAAGGTTCGTAAAAGAGAACCTGTTTCATAACATATAGTTTATAAGAGATTAACCAATTAAAAAAAAGTAATATTTGCAATTTTTAACAAGGTAGCTACTGAACTTAAACCGTTTATAAACTCTGTAATAAAACAGATTGGGAAATATTGAATTCACATGTTGACATGATTACAGTTTTCTAGATACCGTGATTGATATTTTAAGTAACTTTTTCCATTATACTACATATTTTAAAATATTTTGGTTGTCTAGATCCGTAAGCTTTAAGTTTGAACATTTTTATATCGATTAAATAAAAAATAACTAATTACAGCGTCTAGCCACAACTATTAGTTGAAATATTTACATTTATCTCATAAATAATAATTGACAAAAAGTAGGCTCGCCGGATGATGCGTATAGTTCTTGATTTTTATTATGGAAAAATTTGCAATTTTATCTTAAGAATCATACTAATTGACATATATCGTATGTCAAGCGTACGTACGTTATATGCCATATGATCGATCGTATGTGAAAAGGGGCTCAATTTTCAATATATACCGGAATACAATGTCTCATTCGACAAAAACTCAGTCAAATAATCTTCAATACCTTAAATTCATATATCCAAAAGTTCATCCATAATTTAACTTTTATTCTTTGTTTATTAATTTAATGTCTAATATGTATTTGTAGTAAAATAGTTTCGGAAATTATAGTGATTTTTTTTTAGTATTTAGGTAGATATTGAAAACCCTTCTTTTCCGTATGATTTTTATCGTTTCTTGGTTTATGACGTTACTTCTTGAGGGTTAATGTGCTTTAATACGAAACATCCTATATAATATATTATATACATCTGTTTTCTTGCCCCAACGCACACACCAATTTAAGTCCAATCGACCTTTGGACTCGTCCCCTTGAAGTGGCTAGGTTTCTTCGACTGGATCCTGGATAGTTTCAAATTACTCCCACCCCTCCCCTTTCCCTCATCCCAACACTCACTCCCACCTTTTCCATTCCTTATCCCATGTATTCGTCTTGTAATCCTTTCATGTTATCTGCTTTTAGGTCCCGGCGGGTTACAACAACAACATATAATATATTACACTATTCCTAACTCTTTTACGCTTTTCTTATTATTTTATTTAAAATCTACAGTTATTAGATGTAGTATTTAAAATATTTCATCCATTAATTTTATTCAATATATATATAATATGTATACAAATAGACTGAATCTTACACCGTCAACCATTACCAACATGTTGCCCTAAAAAGCGGTCATAACAAAAAGCATAGAATTCAGAGAGTAAATCGATTATACGTTCAAAGGTAATAGCTTCGCTTATATTTAATAATCTTTAATTTGATTTGTAATATGAGAAATGCTTAAATTTCGTTGTTGTTTGGATGACTAATAGTGCGGCACAAATGACTTCGTTTTTCTCTTGTTTTATTTATCTAAAATGTTTTATAATCGCTTCATGTGGAAGAAGCATTGCACTACATTCTTTCATTCTTTCTCGTACTTCGTCCCCACCAAAGATTTAAGCAAAATAATAGTATTGCCTTCTGACACACAACAAAGTTCATTGTTCGCTTGATATTGTTCGTGAAAGTACTTTTATTTTTCTAAAGTTTGAAATATATTTTATGTTCTGTAGCTTAGCTGTTTTACGTATCTGTGCGCTTTGCGTTTTGCGTTTTGCGTAGAAAAGCACAAGTTTTTTCCGCTATCATAAAAAATTTATTTGTTGCTTTTTTTACTTGCTTTCACTGTATGACGATTAAAATAACATATTTCGCAGACTTTCGACGAGTCTTTTCAGTATTTAAAGTACTTTCTGTCGCTGCGTTCTGTCTATTTATCTGTCTATCTATTTGTCTTTTTGTCTATCTGTCTATTCGAACGCTTGTCGTTACATTCCTTTTGTCGTTTAACACATTTTGCGTGCCTGCTGTCAGTTTTATTTGTTTTAATTGCAGTTAATACGGCTAAATCTGTTTGCATATCTTTTAATAGCTGTTTCCTACTTAAATTCAACTGAAGCACATGTCCCATGTCGTTGATGATAGTCTCAATTGTTAAGGGCTTCATAACGAATGATTACCCTATTTAGTTTTTTTTTTTTTTTTTGTTGATTCCATTTGGCTATATTGTTTCAATTTGGGCTATATTTTTAAGTCGATAGCATTTATCATTGTCCCGAATCAGTATTCCATATACACTGAATTGTTTATATCTGTTACCTCAAATGAACAGCAAAAGTAAAAATCTACAAAACTCTTAATCCACCGATATAAAAAAAATTGGCTGTTATTATGATTAATTTTATTATTAAAATGTACCAAAAATCTTCAGTAAAAACAACCCACCTCTACCCAGTTTTATTTGTCACTTAATTTATTCGCAGTGAATGATTTCCATGTTCACAACATTCGGTTTTGGGCGCAAGCATTCAATCATTCGTTATATAATTAATGTTCTAACTTGGATAATTCTATTGGACTTGAGTAAAAGTGCTTAGGTCACATTTTCACGAACGATAAAACTTCGATGGAAATGAAGAACGAAACTTGTCTATTGGTGACAATTAGTTATGGAACATGAGCTCAGACGTTATTCGCGGGCTAAGTAGTGCAATAATATCGAAAAAGCGTAAGGGAGCAAATGGGCGAGAGCAACTAGATTCATTCGCATAAGCAGTTAATAAACATTAACTAGTCCATTAACTAGTCTTTCTGTCACTGTAAACATTATCGACATTCATCGACAGTTTAGGTAAATGAAAAGGGAAAAAGGAAATCGTCGATGGTATTTTGTTTATGCATAAATTCATGAACAGTTGATATGGGATTACATTTGCTGCTATTAGAGTATATAAAAATGTTATTGCTAGAATCAATTAGAAGAGGTCAGTGCCACAGTACTGAGCAGGTTCTCCACTGATTGCTTATATATTTTGTTAAATTTATAGCAATTAAGTCTAAGTCCTGTGATATGACCATGATCTTCTTCTTCTCATATAGCTAACTTCTTTACTATTTCCAAGTAGTACGCGTTTCAAGATGTGTAGCATACTTAAGGATTGATATCGTTCGAATGTTATTATAATGGGGCTCCATTTATGCAATAGCAGAATTATATACATGCATAATATATAAAACAAATTGTATGCTCATATAAATACATAAAAAGTTTTTAATAAATAAAAATGAATGCAGTATACATTGAAAATAGGAATAATATATGTCAAATATAATAATAATCAGAGAATATAAATTTACTTTTAATATAACTAGTATTAATTAATTGTTATTGTTGTATTAATTTGTTTAAATTATTTTTTTCTTTAATTTAAAAAGCAATAATTCCAATTCAATTTAAATTAAGAGCTAATTACTTTTCTTGAGTTTTAGTAAAAATTGTCAGATGTCTTGAAGGTTGAAAACAATATTCGTGACACGCCCTTTAATGCCCTTTAAAATTAAATGTTAATTTCAAAAATTAGATTTGTCTAATTCCTAAAAATGATTAAAATTGATTGTAATTTCTTTATTATATTTTTATAGTTAATATTTCGTAGAACAGTAGTAAAAGTAGTGCATTAAAATGGCAGTCAACGTATATTCAACAAATGTAACTTCTGATAATCTTTCACGGCATGATATGTTGGCATGGGTAAATGATTGTCTTCAGGCACAATTTGGTAAAATTGAGGAACTTTGTACTGGTAAGTTTTGATAATGTATATATTTGAGGTATGTAAATTAATTAATTATATTATTTTAATGTTGAATAGGTGCAGCATATTGTCAGTTTATGGATATGTTATTTCCTGGATCTGTTCCTATTAAGCGTGTCAAGTTTCGTACAAACTTAGAGCATGAATATATACAGAACTTCAAGATATTGCAAGCGTCATTTAAAAAGATGAGCGTTGATAAGGTAAAGTTATTGTATGACTTTTGGTTTTTTTTATAATTAATCTAACAATTTTTTATACTTTGTTCTACCGCATGTTTACAGCAACAAAAATTTTGTAACTAATTTTTTCATTGTTTGTTTAAATTGATACTAGAAAATAATGGTAGATTGAATTTCTTGTAATTGTCGTAAAAAGAAATTTTGCTTATCAAAATTTATTTATTGATAATATATTATTGGGACAAAAGTATTTGGCGTTTTAAAGTTGAATTTGATTTTCCATTTTTAAATCTATTTTGACTATTACTACTTTTTGTCATTAAATTTTGGAATTTTGGTCTGTGAAAAAATGATTAAGATTCGTTTTAGTCATCCATCAGGTAGAACCATTAATTCATTATTGTACAATTCCGATATTTTATCTTAAAAAAAACTAAACTATGTGTTTTTCACAGTTCTGACAGATTTTGTGGTATCAAAATTATACTGTGAATGCCTATTCAAAGAATATTTTATCTTTTTTAGCTAAATATAAAGTGAGAGTAATCTTCAAATAAATGTTAAACTCTTTTCATTTACTTAATCTGTTTTATTTTACTATTTACTATGGAAATATTTAAATACTATTTATAAAATACTATTTACTGTACTATTTTACTATGGAAATTTAACCGTAAAATTCCAAATTTGAAATTGCCTGGTACTTAATGGGTTAAAATTTGTTAGTTAATATTCTATAATTTTAAGCCGGGTTGCTAAAAAATTTGTGATAATTAAACATAACACTTTCTCTCAAATCAATCGTTGTCACGATAAAAGACGTTATCTTTCCTTTTCTTGTTTTTAACTTTTTGCTTAAATCTTATTAATTACTGGAATCCTATTGATAATGGTAATACTGTTTCCATCACATCCAACAATTTTTTTCTTTATTGTAGTAAAATTGTACAATATAAACAATTTTTCTTTTTTAGATTTCATGTCTGTTGTGAAATAATTAAAGAATGCTTTCACCAATTATTAGCCAATATGTTATCTATCAAATAATAAAAAAAAATACCTGATAAATGCAACCGTTTCAAAGCTAAGTTAGTTAACTGAAAAACGCCGAAAATATTTCACGGAATCCATTAGAATACTCAGCTTACAATTTAAATTTTAAACTAAATATATTGATGGCTGTTATCCTAAATATCAGTTAGTCTTTCTCTAGTTTCAATACTAAAATAAAATTAATATAGTTTCTGAACTGCTATTATTGTGAAAATAAATCAATAGTAACTTAAAAATAATAAACATATTTTTTTTTTCAATGGCATCCTTCAATATAATCATAAAATATTATGTGTATATAATAGGATTTTTTATATTATAAAATTTTAATTTTATTTATTCAATATGATATCTATTTATTTGTATTATATAATATATTGCAATGGTATATTTGAAATTTGATTTATTTTAATCTCGTTTGATAAATTTTGTTAAAAGATAAAAACTAATCAGACCTTTATTTTTACCTTAATTATAATAATTAAATCAAATTTAACTTTAGTTCTATTGTTAAACGTTTTAATATATCTTTTTAGATATAACTTCACTTAGATGAAATAATATCATAATATTCAATCTTATGCAATAGTCGTGTTGTGATTGGAACGTAAATGTGTCTATATATGTTAACAGAGCATTGATATTACAGTTAAAATTTTCCACACTTTCTATTGTTCCTATTGAAATACTTCATAAGCGTTGTTGGGATTTTTTTTAAGAGTGAACGCAAAGGCTTTTCAAATAAAACACTGTTAATATCGTTTTCGGAAACAAGCTCAGAACTTGAATTTAGTTTTGCAGAACTTGAATCCGTTTAACAATCCATTGACAATTTCTTTTTAGATATGGATATTTAAAGATTATTTTAAGATTCTGTGTTATAAACATTTAGAAGAGTATCTTAAGTCTTGTTCAGACTTAAGATGACCAAGGAAAAAATTTAAAGAAAGTTAAATCGCGAAAATAATTCAAACATAAGATAATTCGTTCAGTTATACTTTTTTTAGCCCCTAGTACGATTGTATTACCCAATACTATTTTAATATTTTAGACTTTCAATGACTAGAAGTGAAAATCGATAAAATAATTTATTTTTTTTTAAAGAATATAGTAATTTTATTTAAGGTTTTTTTTTTTAAACTAAAACTAAATTGTCATCATGTTAAAAAAAGTATTTCTTTTTAAACTTATGAATTAACAAAACCATCAACTTCAGATTATTCCTGTTGACAAGTTGATAAAGGGACGATTCCAGGATAATTTTGAGTTTCTGCAATGGTTCAAAAAATTTTTTGACGCTAATTACGATGGCCGTGAATATGAGCCACTTATTGCTCGTAGTGGCGTAAAGTTGGGCAACGGCATTGGTGGCGGCGGTAGTAGCGTTGGTAGTAGCAATGATTTACTAGAAAGGCGCCATATTCAGGCGCCAATCAAATCAACAGGAACAACAACAGCTCGTACAAATCACGGTACAACACTACATAATTGATATATATTTTTGTTTTTAAGTGGGGTTTTTTTGGTGGTAAAGAAAACGTGAAGCACGTTGATAGGCATTTAAAATAACAACGATGATTAACAATTCTATGGAAGTTATGCATAACAACTATCTACCCCTCACACACCAACATAACTAAATTTGCACAACTTACTTTACACAAACATATTTATGAGGTTGCAGTTATACATAGATTTGTGCTAGTACCAATTTCGGTTTTAGGACCCATACCACCTATATATGTTATAAGCAGATATATCTTACTAATTATGTAGTTGTGTTTAGTTATATTTGCTTCATTGAATTAATATTTGTGTATTATAGTTTTGTCTTGTGCATTTTACTTTTGAATTATTTTAGTTAATGTGTTTTTATTTTTGTTTTAATTATGCACTTAATTTGTTTTCGGTTTGTTGTGTATTAATATTTTGTTTAATATTTTTTTTGTTATATATATTTGTTCATAATGTATTAGAGTTCTACATATCATAATGCTACATATTTCATCTTTCATTTTGAGTTTTTTCTTTTTCCAAATTTCCGTTTTCTTATTTAATTTAATTCTAGATTATTCCCATTGACAAATTGACTAAAGGTCGTTTCCAAGATAATTTTGAATTCTTGCAATGGTTTAAGAAATTTTTTGATGCTAACTATGACGGTAAAGACTATGACGCAAGCCTTGCCAGAGAGGGTGCTCCTATGGGCTTTGGATCTGGTGTTGTAAAAAGTTTACCTGGTGCTGGGAATTCTACCTCATACCGAAAGTCCGCAACGACATCTGTACCCACATCTACGCGTTCTGCTCCCTCAGCAACAGTATCACGACCTAGTATGTGGTGTTAAATATAAAAGTTATTGGTTAAATATTTTTATAGATGTATATGGTTTATAATTTGATCTTGATCTTGATCTTGTTTTTGTTAATATTTTAATTTGTAAATATCATTGCATTGGTATCTATTCTTATTGATTTTGGCATATAAAATAGCAAAATAGCAAAATAGCTTTTGTAAATGTTTATTAAGCTTTTATTTAACAAAATTGAAAGCACATCTCAAAAATTAACGTACATATAGCATACAACATGTTACAGTAAACAGTTTCGACTAAATACAATACAAAGATATTCTAACGTGCTTCACGTTTGTTAAATTTTATGATGAATAGAAAAAATCGTTATCACTTAAGTACATCTCTATTATATCGAAGTTTAAAAACTTATAAGATTTTAAATATTTTTATTTCTCACAATATGTAATACAGTATCAAAAGTGCAACCTAGAACTGTTGTAGCTGCTCCATCAACCAAACCAGTCGGTGCTGCAAGTACTACGGGTGCTGTTAAGAAGACTGCTGAACAGTCCTCCTCAATTACGAATCAACAAATTGAAGAATTGTCCAGTCAAGTGAGTAGATTTAAAGAAATTAAAATATTGAATAATATCAAATAATATCAACATAATAATATTTTGTATAATACTTATATATGTAAATTATTTAATTTTTCATTGTATATATCTTTTAAGGTAATGGATATGCGTTTAAATTTGGAAGGTTTAGAAAAGGAAAGGGACTTTTATTTTTCAAAACTTCGTGATATTGAAATACTGTAAGTTAAAATAATTTTAAAAAGTTAATGCAACAATAATTTTAACAATTTTAAAAATAAAATAAATCAAATACATATTATTCTAATAAAAATAATTAATTTAATTATGATATCTTTCTAATAGCTGCCAAGAAGCTGACGAAGGAGAACCGCATCCTTTAATACAAAAGATTTTAGATATTCTATATGCAACTGAGGTAAATTCATGTACTGTTTACTACATATAAGATTTGTTTTTTTTCTGCTTTCTTTGTTTTAAAATAATTAAAATTTATATTTTTTGAAATTATGTTTTTAATTTAAAAGTATTGAATATTTTTCGAATAAAAACGTAATAATGAAATTTCAAAATTTATCAAACTAGACTCTGGAGTATAACTGCAACATACTTTATTTAGAAGTATTTGTATAAAAATATCGGCTTAAGTAACACGTAAAACATAAAATTGTGTGTTCTTAAAGTTTAAATATTTTTCTTCAATATATAAGCCTTTTAAAAAACTTGTTGCAGTATATCGAATTTGCAAATGATAATAATATTTTTTATTATATCGCACTTACAATTCTCATATGCTTTTCAAAAGTGCACATTAAGTGCAAATTTAAATATTGAAGTTGTTCCCTTAACAAAAAAATATATATACATACATATATATTTTGTGTAATTTTAATCATATGTAAAGTAAAATCAATGTGTTTGTTAATAAATACTTGAAAGTTTCTGTAAGTTTTTATTATATTTATATTTTTTTAATAACATCTATTTGGTTTTTTTTTAATTTTTTCTTTTTATTTTATGATTTATTGATGTTTTCAGCATAACATGAATTTCTAAAGTGAAACTTTCAAGACAAAAAGATCTTGTCACAATTTTTATAACTTTTTTTAAAATCGAACAATTCACGTTGTATATTCATTTTAAATCTTCAAATAAAATAAAAGATTACAACGTTTTTTTTACACTTAAATACATAGTTATTTCGCTATTTTAATATAACATTTTTAGTTTAATGAATAAATTTTTTTTCTTATAATAATTTTTACTTTTCTTGTTTTTCTTTCTTTCGCATACACAACTTATCCCGTACACCACCGTCACCGCCACCGCCACAAAAATCACAACCATAACCATTACTACTACTACTACTACAAAAAAAAAAAAACAATTCTCACATTAACATCACAACAAACTGTTTTTTTTACAACAATTACTAAAATATTAAAATACAAAACCTTAGGACGGTTTTGCGCCTCCCGATGAAATTCAACCCGAGGATGAGGAATATTAAATTTTCCCAATTTAGCAAAAACAAAAAAAAAACTGCATAAACAATGTTAAAATTTAACTACTAAAAAAACAACAAAAAACATTTGCTACGACTTGCTGCAAACAAAGCAGGCTTCTTATTGAGAGAATAATTACATTAAAACAATATTAAATAAAAATAGTTTGAAATTAAATATATATATATATAAGAAATACAATCTAAAAGAATTGAACATCCAACCAGTATTTATTTCATAACAGAACCAGTTAGAAAAATCTCATAAAAGAATATTAATAAAAATAGTTCGTTTATAAGTTTTGTGTGTTTGCACGTAATTAAAACTCTTTGTACAAAAAAGAACATTAAAATATTGTTAAATTCACATTTACAACACAACACCACTTTAGACTATTTTTAATAAAAAAAAATTGTATGGCTCTGTTTAAAACGTACTGTTATATTAAAAATTGCATTTTTTTAATGAAAAATAATATAAAATAGAATAAATTTTTTTCAATTTTTGGCTTTTAATTATGTATTGTGTCTAGTACTTTAATGTGTTCAAAATTATTATTTGTTTATTAGAACTTAATTCTCTCTAAAATAAAGTAATTTAAATCTTTCATATAAATTTGTTTTATGTGCTTACATTTTTAAAAGGAAATTATAAAAAAATCAAATTTAAAAATTTGAATAGCATTATCAATTATTGAACAATTTGAATTGGAAAATAAGTAAAATCAATAAAAAGTTTATTAAATTGATTGTAGATTAGTAATTGATTGTTTCTAAGATAATTTTCAAGACTTAAAAAATGAAATTGTTACAAGAATGAAAATATTATATATTTAAAATATATTTACTTGAGATATAAATTTGTAAAAATAAATAAAAATTTTTCAAATATTTTGTATTCATTAACAGAAGCATAATTTTGTTTTTACAAATTTTGATTTATTTATGAATAAAAAATCCTTCGAAATAAACACTAAGTTTTTCATATGTTCAAACAGTTTGAAAGCTATTGAACTTATTCTAATCAAGTCCAACGATGCAAACTAGATTAAATTAGGAAATAATTTCATAATTACGAGTTTTAAGTTTAGAATAGACCACATATGAAGTTTTTGGATAATGAATTCAATAAATTTATAGTTTTTAGTGACTACTTTTGTTTACTTGTATAATTTTTTTTGTATCTTTTTTGTAAATTATTATGAACAACAATAAATAATAGGTTATTTTCTATAGTGGTAGTATATTGCTAATAGCTGCTGCATTTTTTAACTAGAAAGTTTTATATAATACATAGTAAGGAAGCAAATGCATATACCATGGTAACAATAATGGGTTATTTCAATAGAATAGAAAAAAATAGGAGTTTATGATTGCATTCATATTTAATGTAAAATGTGAATTCATAACGTTCGTATGCATCAATTTAAAGTCTATAGAATGTCTATGTCTATAGAATGAAAATGAATATACAATGTTTGCATATAATTAATCTGCTAGATGCTTAGTACAACAAAGTAAATTTAATTTTTATGATCACTCAATAATTTTGTACCTAAGTAGACGAGTACTCATTTTTTGACTTGATCTGTAATATTTAAAAGTTCGTATATGTTTATAAAAATTCTTTATATAATCATAATAAACTATTATGGTTGTTTTGGATTTTTAAAATGTTGAACAAAAAAAGAAGAATACACATTTAACATAAATTTTGTTTTATATAAAAATAAGTTTGCTGTTTTTATAAATAATTTTATATAAATTTGAAAATTAAAAACTTTTTCATAGAAAAAATATTTCCCTTATTTGCTCTCGGTAATATACTTCTCTCTTATACAAAAAAAACTAATAGAATATTATTTCTTATATTAAATAACGTAATAAATAGCACATAATATACAAATTCTGAAATTCAGAAATTATGTACATACATATGTTTAAATCTACATTTTTATTTATTGATTTCAACTGAAATTAAAAGCTTATGTATAAAAGTCCAATAACTTTCAAACTTTTAATATGTTATTTTCTAATGTAAATATATTTCACGCCATTTTCCATATTTTTAGACCCTTTCTTTTTTCATTTATATTTGTTTTTAGAAAAATATAATTTCTATGCATCTATTTGCTTTTTAAAAGTATAATTTATACGCTTGAATTTCTTTTCATGTTGTCTTTGTATGTAATTAATGCAAAATATATTACTGAAGCAGATTGTGTGCTTTGTATTAAAACTTAACTGAACTTAATCCTTTGTTTCTTTTCGTTTTGTTTTTAGATTTGAACTTTTTTCAATAGTGGAGACTAAATATTTGTTTTAAGGCTTAATAATTGTTGTTAATCATGATTCAACGTAATACACCGATATCGAATTGACTTTAAGATAAGAATATATATACATATAATCCAATCGAAATGCATATTAATCGTGTATGGTATATACATTTATAAATGTATGAGTATTATTTAATTATATATGAACATTAAAATATGTAATTCATATAACATAAATATGAAAAAACAAATCGAAAAGATTTAAAGCTAATTTGCGGAAAGCTTTGGAAATTTATTTCATCTGCATTTTCTTTAACTTACAAGTATTAAAACAAGACCAAACATATAACAAAGACCAATAATCAAGTATACCTTATTATCATGAAAATCGTTATTATTATTTTGAAAATCTCGTACAATTTGTCTTCTTTGTTGAGACAAGCAAAATGGTGCGTAAAAATGCTTATTACCGCTTACAAAGTGAACTGTATTAATTAAAGCAAATTTATGCTGCTTTATATTTTTGACTTATTGTTAATATACATAAAAATATAATATAAAGTTATTTAATTTCAAATTTAATTCATTACAAAAATTAAAATTTTGAAGATGCTAAATATTATTTTTGTATATATTCTGTTAATTAATAAAAGAATTTAATAGTAAAATTAAATGCATAAAAAATCAACATAACAATAATACATATAATTTTAATATTATTATGTATTATGTAAGTTTATAAATTAGAATTTATTTATATTGGTTGTATAACACAAATATAAAAATCAAATACACGATGTTGCTTTATGTGAACCTAAATCAATTTTATTTTATTTAAGAAAGGATAATCAAAATATAAATGTATTTAAGAACTATGCATTATAACGATATATAAAAAAAATTTTATGAGTAACATAAATTTTTAATTTTTTATAAATTTTATTAAAAAACTCTCGTAGAGCAGTAAGCAATTGAAAGCAATGCTTTTTTTTCACCCTCTTTTTTATGTTTTTTTATAATTTTACTTATATTATATTACATATTATATTACAATATTAAATTAAATATTATATTACAATTATTTTAAATTATAATAATTTAGAATAATGCATTTTAAATTATTTTTGCAATCTTTCACGTAATTGCGGAAATTTATTAGCATAATTCACATTTGAGTAGTACACTTTCACATCTACTAAAAATTGATAATGTATCTATTTTTAAGATCTAACAGCAGCTTGTATTTCTGGATCCTTATGGGTACCATCGCAGAATGGGCGATGTTTGGTTTGTTTACAATTACAAAGCCAATAGTCTCCAGTTTTTTCCACTTTAAAACGAATTGGCCTAAAGAATAAATTTATATATAAATTTAATTGCGCTGAAATATTAAGTTTATAAAAATATTACCTTAATTTGATTTTGAGAAACTCGTTTTTATGAGTACCATCACAAATAGGTTGGCTTTTCGATTTCCCACATAAACACCAACTGTAAGTTTTATCTGGAATAATAGAGGACCAATAAGTTTATTGTTTTTTAAATTTGCAGTTAAATGATGTAATATAAATTTGTGTAGATAATAAGTTCTGCAAGTTTTAGTAATAATATTAAGAGTTTTCAGTAGAAAATATAATCTTATAATCTATTTCAAAAATAGCTGAGCGTAAGTTAGAAACGACATATTTAGTATATATCATATGTAAGTATAAAAACTATTTTTTATTGACTCAACAAAGTCTGTGACGATGAAGAGGCAATTTCAAATGGGGAAACGTGAGCGGATTCAAGTCCTGTAAAGTTATTAACTTGGCCGCATCTAGAATTTCGTCACATAAATCAATTGGATTATCTGCCACAGAATATAACTCAACAGGACTCAGTTCAATACGCTATTCAATTGTTTCAATACCACAATAATAAAAAATTATGTAATGTAAACTAAGCACTGAATAGATGCTCTATAAATTAATAAAAATGCTGAGTCGTAAATAAATTGGTATCTTCCCTGATACGACTTACTCTCTTCTAAGTGAAGTTTAAATGGTTTTTTATCATAAATTGCTCCATTTTCTGATTGTTGAGTTGCAGTATGTTTATCCTCGAGTAAATTCTTTGGAATACTTTTGGTTGTTGTTGCTTTGGTCGATGAGCTAAGTCGTATCTGTTTGCAAAAGAATATTGTATTGTGTAAATTGCAAATCGTTTATTAATATTAAGGAAAAGACTATAATTACATTTATCAAGCAATGTGTGCGTAAATTCCTTAGAAACATAGACATTTTGATTCAAATTAATAATATAATTCCTAAGACACTGAAATTGATTTGACAGCAAACATGTGTTACTTTCTAATCACGTATACGTGATAAAGCAAATGCTGCCACTAATATAAAATAGTTATGAAGAAATAAATTATAAAAAATATTTAAAATCTTTTTTATTAATTTATATGTTACACTTGCATTTAAAACTAGGCTCATTGGACAACCTTGCCATAATATCTTTTTGTTGTTTTATTAGATGAAAAGCATCGGAAGCCATAGTGACACTTGAACCCACCAAAATCATCTCCTAGAAATGCAAGATGGAGAAATTTTAGCCAGTGGACCATAAAGGTCAAATGCTAAAAACTCATTCCAGTAACCAAGGAAAAGGCAGGCATTAAAAAACAAAAGCTTTAGAATTTAGACGATAAAAATATATATTTTAAATTTGTATATGAATAAGTTAAGGACAAAAAATGTTATTGCTAAGTGGTAATGGTTAATATCGATATCGTGGTCGATATCGTGCAGATAGAGGACAAAGAATTAAAAATGCTTGTACCTCATAATATTAAGTAGATTGATGAAAAATAAACCTGGTGAAATACATCAGGAAAAGGATTTGATGGCTGGAAAAGTATTTTACCACTACAAAATACTACAGACCGACTACAGTCAGGCCTGAACGTGCAGTTAATGCATTCGGAGGTACTCTCCTTTTAAATACTAAAGTGTTTCATTTGAGATGATGAAAATCTGAATGAAATGTGAAATGAATATGCAAAGAATTTCCCTATTTATTGTTCGTAACAATACTACACCGCACTTATGTAAATATTTATTTATTGCACTTATTTATTATTTTTAGTTAAAAGTTTTCAAATATATTTATTTATTTATTAAACATCTTATAAAATTTTCACAATGGTAACATTCGCTGTCATACCGACATAACTTACTATTTCACTCAATAAAAAATGAACATTTTAGTATTCTAATATCATCATATATACGCATTTAATTTACTGCATGAATACAAAAATACGACACTTGATAACAATTGTAGTTATATGAATAAGCTCCTTTCCGTAATTATTTATATGAATATGTTATTTTCAGTTTTCTGTGTATTGTGCTGTGTCATAAGTGTTATTTTATTTAATTGCCAAATCCAATAATAAATAAAATGTTTTAACCATTATTCAACAATTTTGTATTCAATTTTTTAATACAATCTTTTATATTCTTCTAATGAGCTATGTATCTAAAGTTTTGTTTTAAAAAATTAATTGATTGGGTGCAGCATTATATATATATAAGTATGTATGAGTACTTATACATGTTCTGTTTCTAATATTTTTTAATTTTCGTATAATAGATATCATTTTCGGAGTTTTTAAAATATTAAAAAATGTGTGCTATATTTATTTGGTTTCCAATAATAATAAAAAATGTAGATTTATGCTTTTTGTATATGATGTGAAAAAAGATATTTTTTTTTCATATATAAAACTCCATCCAGTTCATGCTTTAACTTAGCAACCAAGAGCTTAAATTTATTTTAAATATTATTTTAGATAATTTCAATAACTTCGTAAATGAATGTAAAATTTTGTTTACGATATTAAAGTCTGACGTTATTCTAGACATGAACCAAAACATCAGCACATAAGAAAGAGTACAAGAATCAGCTGTGAATGAAAACAAAAATTATTCTTACCGGTAAAAATAAAATCTCATTAAAAGAGGTTCTGTTGTGAATGTGTTCGGATCGTTTAGGCGCAACGCATTGCATTTATGCGGAAAGCGGTTTGTGCTATTCTAATGCTAGTGTTTAGCAAATGCCTTTAAAAATATAAATTAAAAATACTCCCGCGTGTGTTGTGTGTGGATGAGTTTTTTTGTTTTTAAAGGCTTATAAGATCATTTCTCTTGCTGAAAGAAATTTACGTAAAGTACTACTACGCTGATATAAATAAAAGTATTAAAGTTTTGAAGTGAATTTTAATTTATTGGTATCGTATCTTGAAAAAACAAATTGGTACTGTAGTAATTAAAATTAAGAAATATTGAAATATGTCTGGAGATGTGCAACCGCGTAAACGCAAGGATAAGAAAAGAAAACGTGGTAAATTTATATATTTTTTTCATATTCTTGGCAGTTTATTAAAATTTATTAAAATTAAAAAAAAGTGTAGTAATAAATATATTTCTAAAAGCGGTTAAAGCAATTCATTATATAAAATTTGAATTTTCCCTTAGTATATTTATAAATATTAAAAAATTTCAATTTTCAATTATGACAACATACTAGGGCTGCCAACTCACATATATTACAGTTAAAAACAACAATAACAAATGTTACTGCCTAAGTGCTATAATTTAACATTTAAGGTGATTTTAGAGTAGAATCCTGCTTTCAGATATTGTTCGGATTCAAATGAAAATATACTTTTCCATTATTAATTTGAAACTGTTAAAGTGACAGAACTCCAATCTTGTGTCTAAAGCAATAAGAGCGAGCCGAGTTTGCTCCTAATATTGTATTTAAACTTTTCATTTTCTGATTAAATATAAAGATATATATATTGGTTTGATATTGTTTTTTTTTTTTTTAAATAAAGTATCCAAAATTAATCAACTAAAACCATGTATTTGTTCATCGCATATACCAATTGCTTCAAGCTTATGATGTGCAGAAAAATTTTTAATGTCTTTATCTTTAGAGAACTTTTTTTCTATTTTTTTTTAGTTTAGTACTGCGAATATTATTATAATTAACGCGCTTAATGCTGGCTTTAAAGACTGCAAAATGCAATTCATGCAATTCGTATAGATTAACCAATTTTCATGTTAATAAATAAATATAAATATAGAAATTATATTGCACAACTTTAGATGTCATAGCATTGATTTATTTCAGAATATAAGATATTAAACCTTTTCTTCAATGTTGTTGTTGTTGTAACCCGGAGATAATATGAAAGGATGTATATCCTTAGATAGAGAAGTAGGTTGGGAGTTGGGGGAGGATTGGGTGGGTAGGATAAAATTGAAGGTTAACCTGGATCCAGTTAGAGAAAGCTGGCCACTTCAATGGGGTTGGTCCAAAGGTTAATTGGACGAAGTTTTGTGTGTGGTAGGACAGGAGAATCGATGGGCAATGTCATGGTGAGAAGAGCTGCCGTTAGGGCACACATTGGGAATAGACGTGTTTATGCGTGAAAAGTAACTGTTTAGCATTCGGCTATATCCTGATCTCAATTGAGCTAAAACAGTTCTTGCTGTACGGGGGAAACGAGTTAATGAGGTTTGATAACTGTAAGTGTAAAAACAGTATTTAAAACTTCTTTTGGTTTTAGATACTAAACTTTAATTAGGTGTTATTAGAATTAAGAATTAAATTGATTTGAATAGGCATCTAAATATTGTGAAATGTATGATTACCGTCGTTGAAGATATTGTGAACTCATATTTATATATTATGTATATTTACAGTTGTATTATGATCTCTTAATCACAATTTTCAACTTGTATCTATATAACTTGTAATATGTAATTAAGAATAATTAAATTCCTTACAATATGTTTCATTGGATCCATTGATGGTTTAATTTGTCGTTATGGCGAAGACTTTTGAAACATAAATTGCAGTAATAAATTGAAATAGGCACCTAAATTTTTTTTAAGATCAGTTTTCACATGAAACAATGTTTTTGCTTATATTAAAATGTTTTATTTAGTTTGTTATACTCTTTTTTAAATATGTTGTTAGATATTTGTGTACTTATTAATTTAAATCTCCAAATAGACACCGTAACTATGAGGCACCGACAGTATTTTTTTATAGTAATTTTGTGAAATATTTTAGGGAGTTACTAGTAATATTTCTAAAAATGTGTATATTTTATGTTATATTGCTTTTGTCTTTATTTTAAACATTAAAACCGAAATATCTTTTAAAAGAAATTTTTTATCCCAATTGTCGTAACGATTTTAAATGAACGATATTATATAAAATATACAATATTATAAAGTATTTTTATAGTATATTAAAATGTTAATTAAATTTTACAATAATAAAGAGAGTAAGTTACAAATATCTTTTACTGCATATTAATCTCATTAAATATTAATAATATTTTTCTTAAAAGTGATCGGAAAATTCTATTTCACTACAGATATAGGTTTTTATACTACAAATTTTTCTTCTATTTGCATTGTTGTTGTGATGTCATTTATTTTTGTTTATTTTTAACATTTTGCTCAAATTTATTTAAAGATTTTTAAAATCAGGAAAAAGAACTACTATTGCTTTCATATGTTTCAAACGTAAAGCAAAATCTGCTGATCATCTGCTCATGTCTGCTCGTGAATCTTTTTATTCTTATCATATACAAATATATATATTTCTGTTAGATTCTTTGTGCTCTCTATGTGAAAGTTTCCTTTTCGAAGAAAAATAAATTTCTATATATGTTTACATTTATAAATATATAAGATACATATATAAAAGCATAATAGAAGTCAAAATTCTTTTACTTTCTGTTAGGATTTGGATCAGGTTCAAGAAAATTTTTACCACGTAGCAAAAATGGTATAAGTTTTTTACAAAATTTATATTACCATTATTATTAAATTCTGTTCTTTTGCATATTAATGAAATATACATTTTTTGTTTAATATAAATAGTTAACATATAATATACATATATATGTATATATCAGACACAATTTTGATTTTTTTGATTTATCTATGTTACATATTTGTTTTATCAACTCATAATAGTACCAGACATGAGATTACTGTTTAAGGTTATTGAACTTGCTCATCTTTGTGTTTATATGTCAAAAATATATAAAATGATGTTTTAGGATAAGATTAGATAAAGTGAAATAATTTAGATTATAACTAAAATAAAAGTGCATATTTGTTTTTATACAATTTGAAAGTAGTGGATGGTTAGGGGATAGATGAAACTTATAAAATAGCTGAGAAAAAATCTCATGTCTAGTTCTAGCAAGGATTACGTATCCAAGTGTCTCATTCACTAAGCGAGGTCTGGACGCAGGCTCACGTAGAAAAACAAAAGTTTTTAATGAAAAACCTACATAGAGACCGGACGCTATCTTGAAGTATTCCCGATAAAGTTCCAGGATAGAAACGATTTGGTACATGAGAGGGATTGCTTTTAGTCTGTGCAAATTGAGATACCACTATTGTGGTATCGACATACAATGCGTTAGGCATCCTTTCCACAAAAACAAAAAAAAAGTGTCTCATTCAACAAAATATTTATAGATATGGTCATAAATAATAAATAGCACAAGTAAACGAGGTTTTTTAACCTTGATTACATAGTAAAGCATTTCTTGTCTGCAACTAATGCTTAATGCACGATTTAATTACAGTTATTGGCTACAATAAATAACCAGTCCAATAAATAAACAGTCCAATTTTATGGAATAGAGTAGTCAGTGATGCATTTACTCAACTGCATTATTGGCTAACCAGTTTTTAACAGCCAGTTTTACTAAAGTCCAATTTTATAGAATAGAATAGTCAGTGATGCATTTACTTAACTGCATTCTTATCAATTTTAGCCATCCACTGCGCTGAGTATTATATTGAGGCATTAAAGGATCTCTCTTATTCTGAGCAATTTGTTTAAAGGTTATAAGAGATGTACATAATTAGAGAATATAATTATATTCTGATTCAGTGTCGGGTTGGTTAGTCGCAGTGGCAGGCCATTAGACGACTTCCATGTACATCAATTAGCGATTTTTCGCCATTTTACTACCACATTCATTGCAAGAACCCTAGTTTAGAAGTAGAGACTAAATCCATTCCGCCGAATTTAGGTAATTTAATAGGTCTTTCGTCTTCACCGATGAACAGTATGATAAACTATCAAAGAAGTATTTTCCCAAGAACCGCCAAAGCCAGGCATTTACAGAGAAAATATATTATGGTTTCTTTCTCTTGCGAGTTTCCACAACTTATGTAGTGAGGGTTATGGGGAATGTGCGTGAGTTCCTACACACCAATAACCAGTAAGAACTGTTGTAAGCTTTGCAGTGTTAACACGGTTACGTTAATGCTGATAATATTTTGTAGAAGTATTTGTAGAAGTATTTGCAATGAATAAAAGTTTTAATTTGAACATCCCAAACCCACAACTCATTTTAAAGGAATTTGTATAGGTAGTAATTCTAGAGTTATACCCAACCAGCGTTTAAATTACAATAACTAGCTATACCAGCTAGAAATGTCAAAAATGAAGTACAGCGTACGGTTACGTGCATAATTCTTTGGTGCCTACCACATAATTCTTTGGTGTTCCAATGGAGCGGTTACCGATACGGCAGGTATACGTTAAATAAATCTGTACTTCTGTTTTTCATACAATTGAACTTCACTGAGAGTCGTTAACTACTGTAGAATAAAAAGAGAGGGAGCGAGAGGTAGTGTTTGTTTATCCTTAAAGGAGATATTGCTTTTGATATTTAATGTCTTGAGTTATAGTATGTTTCCAATAGCTTCGTTAGACCACTTAGCTCACTTGAGATTGCTTGAATTACTTGAATCTCAAGTAAGTTAACTGGTTTAATGAAGCCAGTGGAAGCGTACTATTAGATAGATTTTCTGCGTAGTACGTGAATTATAAGTTTTGTTTGTATATGTTATTCTGCAAGCATTAATGCATTAAGTAATTTTATAATTATAAAAATATAAAATTATATATACAATTTTAATTAACTTTGTAAATTGGCAATTGTCCATAAAAGTGCCCCCTTGTTTGGTTTTTCCTTGTTCAATGATTCTCTTGAACTTTCTTTAGTTTTTATTTTTGTTTACAGTTCTTTTGTTTATTGTTCGTAAATTGTTTTTACGTTTTGAAATTATTCAAAAATTTGTTCGTACATTTCCGTATAAGCTTTTGATATTTTTAATATTTCATTCATTTATGTTATATACATTTAAATTGTGGTGTCTGATATAATCACCGTTGATATGGATTATTAATTTGTTTTTAATTATAAATCATATATAAAATATTACAAATTTACATAACTTTTGTTTATAAATATAAACAATAATACGTTCCTAATGAATTATTATTAATTTCTATATATTGTATAATAATTTAAAAATGTTTTAATTCCAGAATTGAGTAATGCTTATCTGATATTTATTGGATTGGATTAATATTTTTAATTAATCGAGTTTTTAAATCATGAATATAATAAATCATAAATATATAAATCATATATATAATATATTACTTCGTTTGTATAATTTTAAAAAACATTTAAAAACTTATTGATAATAAAACATCTATATATAAGAATTTCGACTTTAATGCAGTTATACAGCATAAGTGCAATGCAATGAGAGATGGAAGAAGAAGATGTCGGGCGGTGAAAAAACTATTTAATGTAACATTAATAATTAAAATAGTTAAATGCTTTCGCCATGAACCATTTATGGTACTTCATATCAGATACCAAAATTTTTAGTATACTGTTAGTATAGTCCTGTTCCTTGACTTATAAGCTGCTTTAAGTAAAAGCGAATTTTAGTAGTAAGAAATTATTTGCTTAGATTATATTCGTTTTTCGTTTTAATAGTAATTTTAAAATAAAAATATTATTAACTAATAATTACATTGCTATGCTTTTTAAATCTAGATGCTTTAGATCGTAAGCCAGAAGGCGATATATCTCGTCAATCAAGCTTTCAAGGTACTATGTCCCCCAGTTTTGTGTTCATTTCCAACTAATAGCAAAACTTTAAAAAAAAAAAAACGAATAAATTAACAAATAAAAATTGATTAATATTTTTTAATAATTTTGTCTAATAAATTAATTTTTTCAATAGATGAAGATGAGTCTTCACATGGTGTTCATATAACTAAAATGGGAACAGATGACGTACATTTACACGTTCATCACGACCATGGAACCGGAGGACATTGGTGTGCCAAAGTGCTTTTCTTTTCTTTGTTAGCAATACTGTTAGGTATTATTTCATTGATTATCTTAGAAAATCGTGGGTTATCTGATTGTAAGTTGTTAAAAATGTATGTTAAAAATGTATCTTGACTAATAGATTTTTGATTTGAAGTGGATACTCCATTATCAGAATCTAGGTTTTCCAATTATTTTGATGGATGGGTTGAGGAGCATCGGGAAGAACATGGACATGATGCAGTAGAGGCATCAATACAAGAGCATGACGAGCATGATGAACCATTTGAGGAAGAAGAAGATGATGAAGAAGCCGATGAGGAGGAAGATGAAGAAGAAGAAGATGAACATGAACATGATATAGAAGGAGATGACGATGAGAATGAAAAAGATACTAAAGAAGATAGTGAAGAAAATATAACAGAGGAACCTTCAACAGAAACTGATAAAGACGATGAGGATGAAGACAAAGGTGAAGAAAATGTAACTGAAGAAGTCAGTAAAGAACAAACTGTTGAAGACGAAGATGATGATAATGACATAAATGAGGATACTGCTGAAAATGATGAAGAGCCAGAAACCAAAGAAACTCGAGAAGACAACGATAATAATGTTAGTAATGCCGATGAAGAAGACGAAGAAGATGAACAAGACGAAAACACTGCAGAAGCTGAAGATGCTGAAGAATCTAATGAACCTATAACGGTTTCACAGGAAAATAGTCAACAAACAAATGAAGATGATGATGATAATGAAAATGATGAGGGTGAAAGTAAGGATAAGGATAATGAGGATGAGGATGAGGATGAAGACAGTAAAAATAATGAAGAACCATTTGATGAGGTATGTCATGCACAAAATAAATAAAAAATAATTGAGAGAAAATAATTTCAAAATATAAAAAATTTTTAAATGAATTTTGTTCCTGTAACATTGCACTACTTAAACATAATATTTTACATATTTCTGTGGGTCTGAAAATTCATTAAATCTTATATCTATCTTTGAAAAAATTATTTTAATCTCTTCTTTTTTAAATGTGATTTGCGTCTGTTTCCATTTCAGTAGTATTGAGTTATTTGTTTTGATTACTTTTTTAAATTATTATCTACCTATTTTATGATGAATTTTACTGTAGCTCAGCTCTCTTATGATATATGTTTACTCTATTGTTGTATGTTTAAGGTACACTGTTATTCAGATAGGGAGAGGAACTGTCCGTGGAAAGGTAATACTCCCATAATGATGTTAGTATTATGATGAGTATAAACAATAATTATAAAAATTAAAAATAAAATTTATAGAATTTTTGCTGACTGAATAAATATTTTTAATATAGTCAAATATTGGTTTAATAATATATATTAGCAAATATTGTCCGTAAAGCGTCGGTAGTCAAATGAGTGGAAACTATCATGTTGCCAATTTAATTTTTGTTGTCATATTGGTAGGCAATTAAATTTCTATAACAAAAGCTTATGACCTCGATTGACTGCCCCTTATTATTGCACTGACGTTTGACACTAAAAATGACATATTAGTGAAAGCTAGACATTTTAGTATTCTTATCATGTTTGATTTTAAATCACATATTTGTCTTTATGTTGTTATAATTCTTATTATATATATTATACATAAATACGAGTACTTACGCTTTTTTCTGTTTAAGGAGGACGATGATGGAACATTTGAGTCATTAGAAAATGTTGTAGACAACGACGCTGAAGAAATGGCTTTACTTAAAGAAAAAGCACGGCTGCAGGCTGAGGAAGCCGAGAAAAATGCACCACCTTCAGCGGAAGATAATGAAGAGGGTGGAGCTGCATCTTCATGGGCATCTTCACGTAAGTGATTTATTTTGTTGATTTTAATAAATGTATTGAATGTACATTTTAATAGAAATGAAAAAAAGTATAGGCTCTAATTTGTACTGTTATTCGATATAGGTACAATTTTTGTGAATATTATTGAAATTAATTACAAAATTATTTAAATTAAGTTATAATTCAGTTATGGTAATAAAATTTTATTCATTAGAGATCTGAACTTCATATTTTGAATTCTCCACCTTATCATTAGATTAAATTGATGGAATGTACAAGAAAGTGCAAAGTTTTTAAATTAAATATGTTTTTAATATAGAATGTTAAATATTTAAAAAGAAATCTTTAACCTAAGCATAAAATTTTGCAGTTGCGGTTAAAATTGGCGTTGGTGTGGCACTTGCATTAGTTGCACGCCTTGTTTTAATTAGGAAAAATCCAAATTCAAGTGAGTTTTTCCAGAAACAAAATCTTTATAATTAAAGATAAATAAAATAAAATAGTTGCTTCTTGTGCTGCTTTAATTTTGTTAATCTTTATAATTGGCGCCAACTAATTAAAAAAAAATAAAAGTAACTATGAAATGCCATAATATTTAGAAATTATATTTGTTAAAATTTATTTAATGTTGGCATGTTTAATTGTTGTAAATTAATAACATTTTTATTTCCATAGAATTCTAACAATTTGCAAACATTATTTTGTTAAAAAATTGTAAAAATTATATTTCTAATTTGCACTTTCTTTTAGTATATGAGTTAAAAATTTAAAAAAAAGTTCGATATTGTATTTATTTAACAAAGACTTTTTTTTAATTATTTTATATTAATTTTTAATTAAAATTTGTGTATATTTTAGTTGTTGAAATGTTTAAAATATTATACGCATTTTATATAGTCCGCAATTGTATGTATGCTGCAAATATTATTTGTTGTAAAAGCAAACAAAAATTTATCAATAATGTTTATTTATTTAATGTGTTTACATATATTTTTATATGCAAATAAATCAATAATGTATATAGCCGATGAACCATTGCCTGAAGTTGTAATGAAGCGACGACTAACTATTGCAACGGCTGAAGATAACTTTCCGGATGACGAGGAGGTGCCATTGTTACCTGAAGACGGTTCATAAAAAAATTGTTTTAAAATTTTTAAAATCCAAATAAGAGGTTCAAAACTCTTAAAGAATTCTCTTTGAATAAGATTTTTTTTTTAAATTATAAAAAATTATACTGAGCTTGTAACCGAGTAACAAAGTAACAGTGCAAAGCGGTAACAAAAAATTTATTTCAAGTAAATGTATTTTATTCTAGTCGCTTGGTACTGTTATAACGCTACTCAAGATTTTGAACACTTCGACTACATTACTGACATCTTAAAGAAAATTAGTTTTTCTATCAATTCTTTTAAAACATTATTAAAATAATATTGACTAAAAAAGTGGGCTATTTGAATATTAACGAAATACTAGTACATCATTACCCATCCATATAACATTGCTGAGGCTGTTTACAAGTAACCTAACAAGATATTTTAACCTTAACCTCCATTTTAACAAAATGGGTCTGACTAATAATACAGATTGTTGTTTTTGCCTGAAAGAGAAAAAACTTTTTTCTATCGCAATAGTTGTGATTGTCTAGCTTACATATAGGATCTAGAAAATCCTGCGGCAAGATATTTCCAACGAGGGGCATTCTGTCCCTTACTTGAAAGGGTCAGGGTGAACTTTTGTTCAGTTAAAGTCATTTCTAATACAAAAGATCTACTATGGTGTCGTGCAGTGCTTCACTGGAAATCTATTTTCTACAATATTCTAACGGCAAACAAATTAATATGTCAATAAACGACTCATCTGAATAGGTTAATAAAGCATATACCATAAAATGTTATTTGCAATATAAATTGAAAACCTTTTTTATTTGAAAACTTTAGAAGTCACTTTTCAAAAAAATTTTTTTATGTGCTATCTACTTTTTTTCTACAATATATGACCTAAACTAATCATATGAATGATTTATAAAATATTAAGGGTTTTTATGATGAAAAATTGTTTAGGGTACACTTTCCTTGACGCTGTACATGTTAGTTGATATTGAAAATAGTATGCTTCCGATTATCCGAACAACCCGGCTATCCTAAAACTACAAAGTTTACTATCTATTTAATCCGAACTTTTGAATATGAATGTCCGGATTAAAGAAAGCATATTGTTTGATTTTTTCTTTTTCTTATACCAAGCAATCAAATCTTACATTAATACTGTCTTTAAACGGAACACCCTCCTGTTAAATAAGTGCATTACAAACACTGGGTTTTTGACGTATTCAATTACGTTTCGAAAATTTAAACCATAACCTTGTATTCACTAGGTTATTAAGGCAAAGGTTAAATTTTTATAATGCTTATATTTAAATTTCATCATCTTTATTCCTTTAGTATATAGTATCTATTAAATTCATTTATTTAAATATGTGAACTGAATTGAGTTTTAATCGTTTTCAACCTCTTTTTTGGATGAAATTTAACTAATTTACGGTCTTTTTGACTGAATTGTGATACATTGATTTTTATTTTTTCAAAAGAACAATATTCTGAAGAAGAAATTGAGATTGAAGAGGAAATTGAATATGTTGACGATGACGATGATCAGGATCCTGTTTACATTAAGGACAGAATTAATGCTGACAAAAGTACTTACGTGCCTGAAACTTTTGAAGATTTAAATGCACAATATCGGCCTAAAGATTACAAACCTATTATAATAACTGAATCAACAACAACAAATAAACAAACTGATAATGTGTATGATAAAAATGATAATAAAAACTTTAATAAAGCAACAGTCACAACCACAAGTTCACTTTCAACATCAACTCAGGCATCACACCAGTTCAGTATGCCATCTACAGCAAGCCCATCAGTGCAAACAAATCTACAAAACACCACACCTAAAACAACGTTATCAGCACAAACTGAAATGATCGACATACCATTTACAGCAGCTTCATCTTCAGTTTCAGCACAAAAGCCGCCTAAAACAGTTGTGCAATCAACGCCCTCACCGAAGCCTATTAAACGTGTAGTCACGCATGATGTGGAAACTTTAGATAGCGACGAAGATCTTGATTATGATCCAGATGATATATATGATGGTGAAGAATTGAGTGAAGAGGAGGAGGAGGATGAGGTTGAAATCGATGAAGATATACTTGATGAAGCCTCCGATGAAATATCCGATGTTGACGATACTGAATTGATGAATCGACTAGAAGCCAAATATGGCAGACTACCTACAAAAGAATATGAAAGCGATGAGGATCCTGATGATCCTACATGGACACGTAATTACTGAATGTGCTTCAACCTAGTCTCGTAACTCTTTCGTTTAGGTTTAGTTTGACATTTTTCATATTAAATTTCATCAAATCTGTATATCGTATATCGTATATCGAACACCAACATTCATATTAAAATGAAACAAACCATTTCCCAGTACATCAATTTTCCTATAACTCTATATTTATACTAAATAATAGTAAGTGATAGTAAGTAATAGTAAGTTAAATTATTACTTAATTTTATGGTAGATATACATAATACATATCATTATTAAAATTGAGGGTGGAGAATTTGTTATTGTTTTTGTTTTTGTATTATTTTTTAATTATATATTTATACAAAAGTTTTTTATATATTATATATATTTATACAATTCAGGAAAATACGATATGTTTTGTAATAAAACTTAATTTTCTATAGAAATTAAAGCAAAACAGCCTTCGGATAATACTGGTGGAGCACAAGCCTATAATATTGATGATAATGATGAAAATGAATATTACGATGATCTATTTGAAAAAGAGTTACGAAGAGCCAATGAGGAAATGATGCGAGAGGTAAAATAGAGTAAATAAATTATATAATTTTTTACTGTACTACAGTTTATTTTTTTCTATTGGATTGCTTTAAGTAGTGATATTCTATTGTTGTCAAAAATGTTAAAGACAAATACTTGACAATATTCGAAACAGCGTTGTATGGTCAGTCAAATTTCAATAAAATAACTAAAATTTTTGTCTTTATCTTTTCTTTCGTATTCGAATCCGTTAAACTTTTAAATAGTTTCTTTTCGTCATAAAGATACGTCACTTTTGGCAAGAAAAAAATACCATTTATGTTATAGATTGTTATAAGATATGACAATAGATAAGATGTGACCCTTATGCCAAATATGAAGAAAGTAATTCGAAGAATAATTTATCCAATTTGGCTATTGATACATATGTCTAGTTGCATGTTGCATTGTCTTGATAAAAAAACTTTCTTCTGCGAATTGTTAGGTGATTATCATGCAATTTTCAAATGTTCATTTGCATTTTCTATATATTTTAAATGTTGCTATATTCAAATATATAACAGTTTAAGTGACTTTTTGTGAGAGTATTCTATGCAAAGTACAGAAACTACATTTGAAGCAGTGAAAGTAGAATCACAGAATTTGTCGTTAGGTATACACCTAAACCTATTTAAAGCTATAAACAGAATAAATGATAGTTTTTAACGTAGTGCAGTAAAATATTTTATTTTATTTTTAATTTCTCTTACAACGTATATTATATTTTTTTTTAACTTCTTTTCTCTTCAGTTAAATTATTTATAGAATCCAAAAGTCCCGTCATTTAGCTTTTAATACTTTGAATAAAACTAATACTTAACTTTGTTTGTTCTTTTGCTAGATTAAGAATTTTTCCTATTTATGAAACCAGAAAAATAATATTTATTTTCATATATAATAACTGAATAATTGAGTATTAATATTAATTAATGTTATATGTTAACAATTAACAGCTAATATTGATTACAATTAATATAAAATATATCCAGACAAAAACTTAAACTTGACTATATAATATAATATAAATTAAAAATTTTATACAAAAACATTTATACATTTTTATTAATTTTGATTTAATAATAGTGTTGCGTTTTGTTTTTTCTAAATAACAATTTATCTCGATATTTAACTTTAAAACAAATTAATATGAACGCCTAAACACACCCACAAAACATGGTAACATTTTAATTTGTTTAATTTTAAAAATTAGATATTGACATAAATTAAAAATAAGTACTTTTTTTAATTTATTTTAATGATTTATTTATTATTACTTAATATTTTTGCATTTTTTATTTAATTTTTTTTTTGCATGCATATTTATTTGTTGATTTTTTCCCTATCAATGCTGATATTTCTTGCTTTACATAAATAACATTTAATAACGACCACAAAGAATTATAATGCTGCATTAAAACTATACGACGAACTCTCCCAAGCACATCCTGATAAGCCAAAAATTTTCCTCGTAAAAGCAAAAGCGTTGGATCAATTATCGGAGAAACAACGTAGCAATTATTTGCTGAAAGAAGCTTTGAATGCCTATAAACGTTACTTAGCTTTCGATAAGATCCTGAAAAATCATACCGAATATCGTGAAGCCGGAAATCGTTGCATCGAACGTTTACGTTTCCTTGGTATGTATGTATAAAATAGTAGTTTCTGTATATACTTTTATATATTTCACTTAAAGAGTTTTGCTTTTAACGTATTTATGATGTGTATTTATTTATTTTATAATATATATTATATATAATAACATTTTGACTCTGTTATATTTTATTTTTGTCTTTGAAGGTTTACACATGCAAACTATAGCCATTCATCAGTATATGATTGATCGTTTTCCAGATGAGCCTGAGCATAAAAATCAGTTAGTTGTTTCATGGCTTATGATGAATCGGTAATATTTTTACATTATTGTATATATCATATAAATGTGTAAATATTTTCATATTTTAATCTTTTTAGTTACACAGAAGCTAAAATTATACTGAAAGAAATACTGAAGAGATGGCCTGATGACGGGTTTGCTCAAGTACATTACGGATTCATACTAAAACAATATTATATGGATAATGAAAATGCTGCACTTTATCTTAAAAAAGGTATAGATTCTAAAGCACCCGGTACGCAGGATGGTCGCTTCTTTTATAACTTAGGCGATGCGTTGCAACGTTTACATCGCCAACCAGAAGCTCTTGAAATTTACAAACGTGGTGCGGAATTGAAATTATATCCTTCTACATATCAGCGTTCTCTATACAATTATCCTTCTTTACTTGCGCAACCATTTTGGACCAAAGAAGAAACTACATATGCCTCTTTTTTCGATATCTTAGAAAATAACTGGCAAGCTATTCGAGATGAAGGTTTAAATTTGTTAAGTGCTGACAATTTATTTTTAAATGAAGCAGAAAATCTGAGGGAAATTGGTGATTGGAAACAATTTGAGATATATGCCCGTGGACAGCGTCATGATGAAAATTGCAATAAAGCTCCAATGACTTGCGAAATGATAGAGAGCTTTCATGCCGCCAGTAAATGTAAGCGAGGTCAAGTAAAATTTAGTGTTATGTTACCAAATACTCATGTATGGCCGCACTGTGGTCCCACAAATTGTCGTTTACGTGCACATTTAGGTTTAGTTATACCAGATGGTACTGCTATACGTGTTGCTGAGGAGACACGGTAATTATTTCTCTATAATTTATTCACATTATACAAATTTATATAAACTTTCAAAATTGTTTGTTGCAGTAATTGGCAAGAGGGCAAATTCATTATTTTTGATGATAGTTTCGAACATGAGGTATGGCATAATGGGAGCAGTATGCGACTGGTTTTAATTGTAGATGTTTGGCATCCTCAGTTAACTGAACTGCAACGCACATATTTATCACCAATTTAGTTGTATAAAACCTTAATGCTCAAATGTTAACGCATTGTTAATATCAAGTTCCTGTGTTTTCTCCAAACACCAAATGCAGCTTATAGATATATTTCAATATATATTAATATGTAAATCACATTTTCACAATAAGCAAGACCATTTTGAAAAAATAATTTTCATTTGTGTCTTAAAGAATACAATTTTAAAGTAAAATTAGAAAATTAATTGAATAAAACGCAATTAACTCGATTACATTTTGTATTAAAATAATATTATATATATTGTATATAAATATGAATATTTTTACTCTTTATATTGTAAATTTGTACATAATTTTAAAAGTATGTATAACTTTGTACGTCCACTTAGTTTAGTTCATTATATTACGTTAATCCTATATGTTTACATATATAATAATTTAAAGACAATCATAGATATTAAATTAAACAATTTATTACAATTTAAATAAACATAGAACAAATTTCATGTCAGCTATTAATTTTATTTAATTACATTGTGCTCTAAAATCAACATTGTTAATACATGATAAATAAAATAAATATGAACTCAAATTATGATTTATATTTCACACTTATATATATATTTTTTTAAATTTTTTAATTGAAGAGAGAGTTAATAACAGCTTTTTATTAGTTATATTTAGTTATTAGTTATTTATGTAATTTAACCTTAATTTATAATTCAACCCATCTTGAACGAATAATTTAAATATCCTATTTTCGATGTACAATCATAATAAATTGGCTAATAAACTTTTTGGAAATGTAAAATTATTATTTTATATTTTCTCTTTGATATGTTAACGTTACGTTAACATAATCAATGGTCTTTAGATATATTTATTGGCTTAATTGTCCACACATAATTATTAGAGTGAAATCGCTAATAATAAATCCCTGTTAAATTTAAAAAATTTGACCAAAAATTATATACAAACATAATTACTATCCCGATTTTAAAATTTTCTGTAATTAATACTAAACATAATATAATATAAGAAACAAGTAAGAACTTATTCTAAACTTATTTAGAACTTATTCTAAAGATAATACATCTTAAGAATAAGTGCTCTCACGCAAGGATCTTTTATGAATTTCCTATACAAATTGTGAATACCCAACAATTTCTGTGGAAGAAATATCAACCCTTGTGAATAAATTCAAATTGGATTGCATGGTTGTATTCATTGTTAACTGTGGAGATTATTTTATCAAAAAAAAATTTATGTGATTCACATCTACTAATAGTACGATCTATGTAAACAGGTTCACCCACTACAACGTAATAGGTTTTGAAATGATAAGTTTTAAATAAGATTAGTAGAAGTTATTTAAGCATATACTATAAGAAAGTGCAAATGGCTAAAAGCAGTTATGTACTTAATTACAATATTACATTATGTGTTGCAGACGAGTTTTTAATTTGCAACAGAATCAAGAAATTTTAGCAATAATTCTCTAGCTGCCCAGATCAAAACAGTACAGTGAAATAGAATGTAAGAAACAGTGCTACTCTTCTTTAAGTATGCTTTTAAGTAATCTTTCGGTAAATCTAGTTTGTTCGTGCTAAGGCAATTTGCCTATTTGAGGAGAAATTGACAAATTAGATGCTTTAGTTAAAAGTTTTTATTAAAAATTTTATTAAAGATATATTATTTATTTGATTTAAAATTTATATTTAATTGTCAATTAGAGTCTTAATTGTACACCAGCTGATTGCACAATAAAGTCTCGTAAACTTAGATAACTCGATTCTTATACGATGGTTCATATTTTTATTTGCAGCAGTACCTGAATAACAAGGTGCCCAGAAGAGCATTATTTAATTTAATTGTCATATATAATTGTCATATATGTTATTTGCATAATTAACTGAGTCAATTAAATGACTTCGTGTAGCTTTATTTTGGATTACATTTTGTGGATTACATGTAACTATCAACCATCCATCTGACAACTATCAGAGGTAAAAAACAAGATAGGAATACATACAAAAACTTTAATTTTTTAATGTGTTGATTTACTCATTATATATTGTACTTTACTAGGTACTAGGAAAATTAGCTATTTTTTATAGTCTAACATTCATATTTAGAACAATAAAAAAGAAAATACGTCACTTTTTGATAATTGAAAAATTTGTGAACTATTGCATATGTTATGTATATTCACTTAGAATACTAAGAACTAGAACTGTTTTGTTATTTACTGATTTTTAATAAAGTAAATATTATAATAAAATAAATATTTTTATATATTGCAGTACGTAACATAAATGCGAAAATAATTTTAATTAATTTAAATACACCTGAAGCAACAAAAATTTGGTCAGTATAATAACAGATTTGATAGATACAATTCTTAAGCTATCTAATTTAGAATGATGAATTCAAAAATTTATATTTTATGTACAATAAATATTTTTGTAGTGTTTTTGAATTTAAAGATAAGTGCGACTCGTGTATCAAGTAATACGGTAACAATTAATAATTATACAGCTCCTGGTGTTAATATATACACAGAAACAAGAGATAGTAATAATGTGCACAGTGTTTCCATTTCACTGCCAGCCGGGAGTAGTTCTGGTAACAATGGAAATAGAAGACCAAGTACAGGTAAACTGAAACTCTTCATTTTAAATTGATAAACTAATGTAGATAAATAAATAAATCAGGTAATAGACGTCCAACTTCTAGAAGGCCAATAAGAAGACCTGTAGCAAGGCCTACTCGAAGACGAACAACACGACGTAGAAGAACTACCAAACGGAATGTTTCAAAGAATACACGAGGTAGAAGTGGATAATGAGAGATTAAGTAATATATTGTATTATTTAAGACAGAGAATAAAAAAAATTAACAATTTAATATTGATTTGTATATTGATTGGTATAAAAGTGTAGTTTCCTTATTTTATTATTGTTTAAAACTATTAACGCTTTTTACTCTACACTCTTTCGTATCGTCATGACTTTATTTAAAGAATAAATGAATTTATCAGAAATCCCTTTCAGCAATCCACTAATATGGTAGTCAGGTCCGATATTAGGAACTTTTTAATGAAACACATTCTGGTCTTCATTTGAAACACTATGTGATTTTTGTTTGGTTGGCATTAGTAGAAGCACAAAAGACCTACAATGATCGAATTTCATTGTTCTAGTATGCGTCGTTTACCTGTTAATATTCTATTCTTTCATGTGTGGTCAGTTACACCAAAAACGACAATAGAGTTCCGAAAGTAAAGATAAGAATTCCACCATTTAATATTCTTTATTCCGGAATCTAGAATATGAATATGTAAGTATCTTTGAATATTATTTTAGTTTCGAAAAAAACAAAGTCAAAATTTTTATGTTTTTCATACATAAACTTTTTATATTTTAATTTGGAAATAAAATAATAAAGACGAAATAAATATTAAAAAAAAAAAATTCTTGACAAAAGTGAAATTTACTTATGGAAATAAAGGTGTGATGTACAGAAATGATCAATTATAAAATAATACTAATCATTTTAAATTATTTTATTACCCAGTATCGTGGTTTGATTGCTTTATAGAGATTATGAATGAATAACAGACGTCTCTTTTGTGCGCTTTATTCAGTCCCGTACATCAAGTGTAATTAGTGCTCCCTAGACCTCAATCTTTTTCCTAACGTTCACTTTAGATACAGTGGATATTATATGTTGAAATCGATGCCGCGGTAATTTCTAAAAGTCGTGTTTTATTCGACTTAGGAATCAGTCAATACATAGAGAACTAAAGATCTCTTGAAGACTTTTCTCTAGGATACCTTCAGTGCTATTTCATCATTATGTCACAGCGTCCATGCTTCTGCGCTATACACAAGTACAGGTTGGATGAGTGACCAATGCAACGTAAATCTTATCGGCTGTTAGAGCTTATATTCTGTTATTATTTACGGCAACGCCAAATTAGATGAAATCTTTAACAGCTTCGTAAGTATATAATATTCAATATCGAATGAAAAGTTTTTTGATTCATCTAAAGATGAAATGTCTAGCAGCATGTCTTGAAAAATGATTAGTTTGGAGCATAGTGCATCACTGTTGCAAATTTCCGCTGATCGCTGAACTTGTGTTATTTTATTTATAATAGTTGTCCGTTTGAAAGTTTACTACCAGTTTATAATATTATATAGGATAGTCAACTACTGATAAAAAGATTGAACTAATAATTTGTGGATAATGGGTCGTCTATCTTAGGTTATAGTTTAAATATTTCTTATAAATAATATAAAAAACATTTAATATGATTCTAATACCCGTACATACTTTAATTAATGTTTGTATTTTCTAAAACTTTTGTTTCCGATACAAATTAAAGTGCAGATATTAATAAATTTCATAATTAAGTTTTATAAATTATGGTATCAAGCGCTTACATATTCGTACATACATAACGTATAAATATATATATATATATAAATACATATTTAATTTTTTATATTAACATTTACTGACATTTATATGTTTAATTGCATTGATGCGTTGTTATTGGAGCATGAGCAGATTTTATTAATACTTAATTAATAATGTATATATTTTTACAAAATCGTTTTGAAAATATATTTTGAAATCATTTTTATATTGATAAGTAAACTAGAAAGATGTCAAGAAAATCTATCGCGCTTTTATTTTTAAATATTTTTACTATAATAATCAATTCTCTTGCTGAGGAAACGGATTTGAGAGTTTGTATACCGAACTTAGGATGTCTGCAAGGTACATATTTGTCTGGATTTCAAATAGAAAAATTTGAAGCTTTTATGGGAATACCATATGCCAAGCCACCAGTAGGCAAATTAAGACTGCAAGTAAGTACTTTAACTGCTATACATTATTTTATGATAAAGGATATTTAAATTTTAGAATCCCGAACCTTTTGGGTCATGGGAAAATGTAATGCAAGCCACTAAACCGAAACCAAGCTGTTTACAAAAAAACTATTTTTTGGAAACGCACCCTATTATGGGAGTTGAAGATTGTTTATATTTAAATTTATATCGTCCTGTTGTAAGTATTGACTGTGGCATTGGCTGATAATTTATAGCAAGTAATATAAATTACTATACAATACTATACTATAATTATTAATTTTAGTATTCATACTAACAGCAAACTCTCACCAATTACGTATTTTCCACTTTAGTCTTGATTAAAATTATTTTCTTACCTATCATATTATATTGTAAAGAAAAAATAATAATTCTTGTTATTTATATATCTTTCAGCAAAGGAGTACAAAATTATTACCAATTATTTTTTATATACATGGTGGTGGTTTTAGCTTTGGATCACCACATCCTGACATGTTAGGCCCAGCCTACTTTATGGATACACAAGAGGTTATACTTATAACTTTTGCTTATCGTTTAGGTCCTTTTGGTAAAATGGCTGAATTATGTGTTATTAACATATTTTAAAATTTTAAACAACTCCCAATGCTAATTTTAGGCTTTCTTAGTACGGGTGATGAATACATGCCTGGAAATTTTGGACTTAAGGATCAAAATTTAGCATTGAAGTGGGTATTTGATAATGCAGTTTATTTTAGTGGGGATTCCAATTCCATAACAATTTTCGGCCATAGTATTGGTGGGTCTTCAGTGCAATTTCATATGTTAAGTCCAGCGTCACAAGGTAAATATATAAAATATTGCACTTATGATATAAAAATAAATAACAGTGACATAGTTGTTTTTGAAGAGAGCACAAAAATACAACAAAAAATCAAAAAAACAAAAAAAAAAACATTTAAGACCAGAACGTTTTTTACCGATGAGTTTTTGAACCTAAATTCCATAAAAAGCTTAAAAATTACGAACATTATTTAACTAAAACATTATTAAATTTTTGTCGGCAGGCCTTTTTAAACGTGCAATAATGATGAGTGGCACAGCTATAGCACCATTTGCTGCTACTCTAAAGGAACCTCGACTGCAGGCAAATATGATATCTGCAGCAGTAGGTATAACCGATTCAGAGCAACTATCATCTGAGCAATTACTTAATAGTCTACAAAATGTGGATGCACTTACCTTACTTAATGCTAGTGATGTACTAAAATTTTGGCGACATTATAATTTGATTAATTACCGTACTGTTATTGAGCATAGTTCATGGTCCAATGCATTTCTAGTATGCGAGCCTGATACATTGTTGAAAAGTGGAAACGTAACTCAAGTTCCAATGATGATGGGGATGGTGCCTAGTGGGGGTGAGGGTAATATATTTGCAATGCGTTTATTAGAATCTGAGGAGTTACGCAAAGAATTCAATGCAAATTTTGAAAATATATTAACGAATATAATAGAGCTTCCCAAAGAAATATCCAATAAAGATGTAAAAGAAAAAATGAATTTGATAATCGATGAATATTTTCAAGGTAAACGTGAACTAAATAATGATACGTTAAAAGGCTTTGTAGAGGTAATTAAAAATATTTTTAAATAAAATTTACTTATTTAGTTGGTTTTTGTTTCCTAATAGCTTCTTGGTGATATTTCTTTTTTGTATCCTTACTATAAAACTATTGAATATTATGTAAAGCAATCCAATATAAGACAAAATCCTTTGTATCTATATATATTTAATTATAAAGGACATTATACCTATACTACCGGTTATTCTAGTAATACAATTACTGATATTGGAGTATCACATCTTGACGATATGATTTATCTTTTCGAAGCCCCTGATCTTTTTCCTAATGGCTTTGAGAAGAAGTCTATTGATGCTGAATTAGTCCAAGAATTTACACAACTATTTGTAGAATTCGCTAAATATGGGTGCGTAAAAAATGTATTTATAAAATAAAAATTATTTATTATATACATTTTTTTCTTATGATTTAGGAAATCCACCGCCTATAATCAAGTGCAAGAATGCAATGGTGAAAACTTTTATAAACACGATGAAACTGGTATTTGCAATTATCTTGAATATCGCAATGATGGTAAGAAATTTAAAGCCGTGACACAGCAGGGTTTTAACGTGAAAAGAATGAAATTTTGGGATAACATTTGAAATAAATCCACATAAATATATCTGCTATAACCTATACATTTCCTCTAAAAAAAATGTATCTATTTTTTTGCTATTAACTAACTATATAATAATATAATCTGTGTAGAAGAATGAATGCTGTTTCTTTTCCATTTCATCGTACGTAGGATTTTTTTCAATAAATCTTTTTCTACGTTCTATATAATTCTTTATTTATTACATAAATAAGTTAATATATACTTAAAAAATAAAATAAAAATATTATTCAATTGATTACAACTTTATTTTAATACAGATTAAATAAGTAGTCTGAAGTTCACATAAAAGATTAACTGTAACCTATTTTTTGAGTGGTTCTTAAGCATTTAAATTGAATATGTAGAGTTGCCTTAACGATTTAAATAAAAAATACAATATTGGCATATATTACTTCTTTAAAGACTTAAATATTTTTAAAATGGATTGGTCCCACGCGCTTCTGCCCTACTTTAAATTTTATGCCATTATCAAATAGCAGTTCACTGCAGTTGTCGCTTGTACTATAAAGTAATACATGCGGAGCAACAGATACTCGTGTACATATTGTAAAAGTGAAATATTTTAGGCGAGCATAGTTTATACATTATATAAATGTATTGCAGTTACTTTATAGTTTAATTCATATAATAAAAGATCAAAACTTTTTATAATAAAATAATAACGCGATAAAATAAATACTAACATAAACGTTTTTAATCGTGGGAGTTATTTTTTTTTAATTTTTTTTGAAATAAGACTCAATTATAAGAGGGATGTACTAAACTTTGTTCAATTATATAAAAACATATTTAATAGATCGAGAACATGATAAATATATAATAAATGATAAATAATTGTTACTGTTTTGTAGATTTATTCCTTCATCCTATGTCTTTCATTTGTTGCTATAATATAAAAATTTATATTACGTAATCTATATATCGGTAACATAAAAATTTTTTTTTTAAAATTAATTTTAAAAGTTGTGTATTATTTAATGTTGAGCAATTACCCTGTAAAAAAATATATATAAATATAATTTGGTTATTAAAACAAAAAATTATAAAAATTATATTTTCAGATAAAAAAAGTTTAGAGTTCAACATGCTGCGTGACCCTAAATTGAATTACTCCTATGCAAAAGAATGCAACTTAAAATTGAACTTTATAAATGAAACTGAAATCTTTAGTCAGATATTTTATACAAAAGGGAAGCTTCATATATTATACGTTTTTACAATTAATAATTTCAAGGACAGAAAAGATAATATATAAATATAAATGGAGCGAAAATATCATTCAATCTTACAGAGAAAAAAATTATTTTTAAAAATGATTTAAATAAAAATAAAAATCAATAATTATCTAAATAAGAAGCAACTGTAGGTATAGAGTTGCTGTTAAATTAACATTTTATGTTATTTTGTCTGTTAGGAAAACATAGTTTCTATGTCTTTTGGTCGTAATCGGCATTTTACTGTACGCTGCTTTCTGTGCAAAGTTGTATTGGTTGCCGTGAACGTCTATTATAATTTTTAAATAATTGAAAGATATAAATATATATAAATAAATAAAACAACTTTACTAAAATAAAATTATGATTATTTTTATGAACAAAAATAAATATTTGTTTTTAGTTTTATTTTTAACAAAGAGCATATTTTTTAATATTTTAACATTTATTTGATAGAGTATATTGTTATTAATTTATTAGTTATTGTATTAACTGTCAATAAGAATTTTTGCAAAAGTTTTTATGTTTAGGTCATATATATTTTCAGTTTTATAATTAAGATAAAGTAATATAAATTTTTTTATCATAAATATTGTTTTAAAAAAGTGTTAAGGTGTGTCAATTAATTAGACTGTGAAAGATATTTGTTTTGTTCAACACTTGTACATTTAGATAACCAATTTCTTCTTAATAATATGATATATTAATTAACCCTATTATTTTTTGTTTATATGATGAATATCATGTTTGACTATATTAATTTCATATTTTAATATTGTAAGGATCATTTTTATAAAATATTTATATTAAATCACCTTTCAGAATCATGTTATATATAATTTTTGTGTGTTCGGTTTAAGATTCCTTGTAAAATGACTCATAAAAATGCTTTATGTCACTGAAATTCATGAACATAGTGAATTTCATTATGCATTAATGTCTATTACAGTTTTGATTTCAATTAAAAAATACTATCACGAAAAAGGTTTATAATACAATTGTTACACCAACAGTCATATATGGCTGTAAAACATGGATACTAACAAGAAATCTTGTAAAAAACAGTCTGTTCCAGAAAAAAAAGAAATGTAAACTTCTATTAACATGTCAACTATGAATTCCTTCTGGACTGAGAACGTAAAAAGAATATTAGAAAACTACCCCTAATAGTTGCACTAATACTAAGTTAAAAACTTTCAAGGTAATGATCGATGCAGAATATGTTGGATTGTAGGTATTAACGCTTGTTTTGTGAAAGATAGAACTGCGATGTTGGCATACATAAAAACAGTATCAGAAGAGATCACCGATCCGTAATGTTGTAAGATGTTCATAACGATGATAATGATACCTACCAAACGTATAAGTAGGCTAAAGTATAACAGTTTGCTATGTCAGTCATTCTGACATAGTTCATTCAATCAGTATCAGTATCTGTATCCTCTACATAAATTTTTTTTTTAAATTCTTTTTTTTTTTGCTATAATAAATGGGAATGAATAAAGAAAAATGAAAAATCACTATATTGTCTGAAAGTATCAGAAAAACAATAACTGTTAAGAGATAGATTGAAAGACAGATAAAACCAAAAATAAAGGCCTCGGAACATAGTCCAAGTAAAATTGATGTGAAGTGTGGGTCAGGGGGTCTTGTTTTTACTCTGTCATTTTAAATGACAATTACAATTGACTGGTGTGTCAAATGCGTTTTCATCACATCATATGACTGCCTGTTTTCATTATACTGATAATATTTGACATTGTAAATGACATAGTGAAAAAGAGGCATAAGATATATATAGTAAAAAACGAGAAAATAAATTGAAGGGAAAATAAATGAAAAGAAATGTAAGTATAGAATATAAAAAATCTTTTGATGTATATTTTTTTGTGTAATACGTCCTTTAAACATTTCATTTCTTTCTCTATGCTGTATTCATAAGTTAAATCCTTTAAAATTTATTTTACAAATTTTATTTTTTCATACTAACATATTATTAATTATTTGCGTTACTTAAAATATGTTCATTGGAGTAATTTTCTATTTTAAAATACGAGTAGTTCAAAATAGTATAAATTTATATTTAGTATGGGTAAAATTTAAAAAGCAGAAATTTCAATACTTTGAAAAAACAATAATAACGGCATATTTCTAATAAAAACAACACAGGTGAGATAATATTTTGCATGAACTACCTCAACTCTTATCTTTCAGAAAACCGCAACAAATATTTGTAAACAAGATCGTATTGCTTAATTTGCAGATTTTGAATGAAGAGAATTCATTTAAAAGAATTTACGTTTTTGTTTTGTTTTTAAGAGTGTAGCGTGTTAAGTACTCGTGTGAATATTATTATTTACATACGTCACTAGAAATCTTTGCTATTCTTTTGCAACTTTTAAAAGAAGTTATCGGCTTTGAAGATACGTCGCTGTATCAGTTGAAATGTGAGCGCGTGCGGAACTGCGCCTTGGTATTTCTGACATCGGATATGCAGAGTTGTGGTTGTTATATATATATACACATATATATAAATACAATTTTATTGTAATTAGTTTATTACATGCTTTAAAAATATTCAGAAAAAGTGAAACATCGGCTTTTTTGACACTGCAAATTGCTACAGAAGATTGTTAAATAAAAGGAAGAATTGTTGTACGAGTTAGGCTCAGTCGTAGAGTCAACTCGTTATCTATCAGTTCAAGTGTGAAATATATAGAAAATAAATTCTAAAACAACAATATTGACAAAAAAAAAACAGTAAATATTTTACGATGTGATATTTTTGTTTTAAAATACAATAAAATTATTGATTGTTTATACAATATTAGACTTAAAAATATCAAAACTCAAATATAAATTATGTTCAAATTAAAATTTAAATTAAGTAAAAATATTTGGAAAACATATTTTTAAAACAATATTAAATATTAGTTTATTTTTACAACCCAGGAGGAGGCCGGTTTGACAGCTATAAAATATAATAAAATAAAATACAATAGTATCTTAAAGGAGAGATTGACAGGTTTTATACTTAGCATATGAAATTAGGTTATTTGTGGATTGTGATGTAGTAGCACTGCGTAAGTGTGGCTACTGAATTAATTAAGTGTTTGTATAGTAAATCATCGAAGGCTTTTTATTGAAGTCATAAAAACGTATAAGAAGCTTCTGTTCTTAGAATTAAAAAATTTAATGATATGAATATACGTATATCGATTAAGAATGTGAATAAGAAATTATTTTTTTGATATGGAAAGTACCTATTAATAATTTAATGATATTAAATATTAAATTAGTGAATGCTAATTTTAAGCAACAGATATCAGATAGCATAAACTAATTTAATTTCACTAAGTTCAGTGCCTATTAAGTTAAAGTAAATATACAGAAAGTGAGACTAATACTTTTTAATTGCCTTAAATAAATAAAAAGTCAATCAATAATGCACTTTACTTCTTTAAAATTAAAATTGCATATTAATTTGTAAGGGGTATATCAATTCCCTTAAAGTTATCATATATAGTTTTTTAAAATGCGGTTGACAGTGCAGCTATAGCAAATACTAGTAGTTTACCTGCTCTTATATATGTAGTAAATTACTTAAAAAGATTTTGTGATCTGTAAAACATTGCTTAAAAAATTTATTGCACTATAGAAATTGCTTCTTAATATCTGGTTAGAAGATTTAATAAATGAGAATGATTACTAAATATTAAAACTAACAACATTAGTTCAAGGCTTTTATCAATTTATATAATAATAATAT